CGAGTCCAGAAAAGTGACCGTCTTCATTGTCAACACATGGGCGATGCGATCCAATGCGATGCGATGCCCTCTTACGTGGGCTGCACTGTGGCGGCAAACAATTCTATAGAAATATCAGACATGCACCGGCATAGCCGTTGCACTGGTGGCAACCGATCTGACCGAGATCTGCCGGCGATTCAGACCAGTCCCCGGTCCCCGGTCCCCAGTCCCAGTACCAGTTCGCAACCGGGAACCTTATCGCTGCCCAAAGAATCGTTTTGCCATACTAAATTATTATGTTAACATGAAAATAATTGAGGCAACAGGCATTCAACGGTGGCTGGCCAATTTATTTATATCGCTAAATCTCGGTTACGGAGCGGATTTTGGTTTTTGGATACGGCGGCAGTTGCAGAGGCCAATTGATGCCGGTACAAATAGTTCCAGAACTGGGGCATCTGCATCGAGGATTGGGATGACAACACCAGAGACCGGGAGCTACTCTTCCGATAGCGTGTCTCAAATAAATCTCTCAAAACGATAGGAACACAAGGTCTTGTTTTCAGATTTGTAATAACTCATAAATTGAAGTGTATTTATTATGTTGAAAATATATAATCCACATAAAAGCTAAAGAAGAATATTAGGAACAGGAAGTACAATAAAAGTAAAAAGTAAAAAATTAAACGAATCAATTATTAATAGATCATCTTCAGTTAAACCTTTGCTTACGATCAATCCAACTATTAATGCATAGGAGGACTTGTGTCGCTGACTTTGTAATAGAAAATCCCAGAATCTGTCAAAATAATAATATATTTCTTATTATAATAATATTATTCCTATAAATAATTGTTTTAAAAGTAATCTTTTTGGTTTATTATTAAAGGAATTTGTACTTAATTTGACTCTTAAGAAATGGAAAAGAATTATTAAGGATGGTCATTATCCTTTGACGAACTTTATTTTCATTATAGTTTTCTTAACTTCTTTTTAAACGTTGCATTATTTTAATTAACTTTTTATATGTTCCTTTTCCCTAAATCTCTAAATTCTATGATTCTTTCTTGTAAACCCATTTTAACCCAAGGTAATCCCTTTTTTTAGACCGCCTTGCACTGGGCCGCCAAGCATGGAAACGAGGATGTGGTCAAGCTAATTGCCGGTACTTATAAGGCCGATGTTAATGCCAGAACGGTAAGGCTATAATAATCAGAGGTTTTGCAAGCGTGTTAACTTGAACGATTTTAATATATATTGTTTATTCCATGTACTCGCTTCCAACTTGCACAACTGTGTGGACACCGTAGAACGGGGTGAGTGATATGTAAATCTATTGGGGCAATTTTAATAATAGACGAGCTACCGACTTATTGGCTTGTCCCAGTGGCGCGTAAATGTGCGTCACATGTCACACGGCGTGCTGGAAATGTATCGTGTAACCCTTTCCCTCCGGAGGTTTTAATACCCCAGAATGGAGAGCAGGCTGTGACAAATCATGACGAGCATATCGAATCCGAGCCTCACCAGTCTGTCACCTTCGTTCTGATTTCGAATCCATCTAATCCTTTCGTTTGTGCATTCAAGTTTACACAAATTTTAAATTGAACGACGCTTTGTTCTCCTGCGAAATTAAATTCACTCAAATGTATTAAAATGTCACATCAACATTTGAAACAAAAACGTTATGTCAATCACAGTCCGCAAAATTCGACACGGTTCTAAACAAAACAATCCCGCAAAACACATGGTTTTCTATATGCTATTTGAAACACATTTATAATTTACAAGGGACTCGAGGAGGTTTGAGAGGGATTTTCTTGATATTTATTAAAAGGGTTTTAAAGAAATCTTACCCTTGAAAAATTGTAAGGTATAGTTTTTATATTGATTACTAATTTCTCTTTATTAATTGTTATGTTTAGGGCTACACACCTCTTCACTTGGCCACCCAATTTGGCAGAGATAATATCTTTGAATTACTTTGGAATGTTTACAGTAAGTATTTAGCAAATTTGTGAGTATAAAAATAAATAAACATTGGGAATTAAGTTTAGAAAACATTTTAATAGCTTCCCCTAAGATTATCCCTGTTTAATCCTTTTTTAATATCCTTTCCAGAGGCCAATCGTGACATTATGGACTATAGTGGCAACAAACCCTTGGACTACAGTCGCCAGCGACCAAGTGTCTCGGCCTCCACATGCAGCAGTGAGTATCAAAAGTATTTCATCAATACGGAGGTGAACAACAACTACCAACTGGGATTCATTGAGACGACACTTGGGAAGGGTGAACTCATCGGTGGGACACTGGGCAGCGCACTAACCCGCGGCAAGAAACGCTCTCAGATGCTGTATGCCACCGTTAGCGGTGGCTCGAGTGGAGGTGGCGGTGCGGTTTCCCGCTCCCAGTCGATGATGGTCCAGCGGCGATCCAAAAAGCCCGTCGTACAGGGTCTGTTTAGATCAACAGGCCAAGCGGAGGGGGGCAGCGATCTGGTGCCCTGCGACCAGGAGGGCGGAGGACATCCCGTTCCATTCCGTGGCGCCTCCACTCGTCGCAAAGAGAGCTTTCTCCGCAAAACCTTTCGATCGACGGCGGGCGGCGTCGGCATTCGTCGCCAGACCAAAGATGTTGTTAATACTAACCCTCCAGAGCATGGTTAATTATTAGATAATCGCTTGTTTTATAATCCTTCACCTGTATATTTACCCTTTTTAAAAATTGTGCTAATTTATGTATATAAATGTGCAGGTAACAGTTTTAATAATTAATACGATTTAAGGGGATTTTTCACACTATTTTATTATTTTAATCAGTGAATATTTATATTAACTATGTAGGTGTTTAAGTATAAAAGCATGGCCTTATTATGTATTGTTTTTTATATTTTTACCACGGTGTTCTGATTAATTATTAAATATATATTAATGTACATATATCCACAAATAATTGCATGTTTATGGGAAAAGATTATAAACAATAAAATGTATGTACTGCGAATGTTTTTAACAAAATGCAGGATTATATTGTAAATTAATCTTTGGCTTTGGTTATTTAATAAACTAATTCAAGATCATTTTAAGAATGCGCTTTAAGGTTATATGTAGTATTATATACTAAATAATTCTAATAGAAGAATGTTTTGCAACCAATATAAATGCATTCAAAATCATTTAAAAAATCCGCTTTATGGACATAATATAATTAATATTTACCGTCGTTTGCCAACATTGTTGCCCGCCCATTCCCACAATAAACCCATTGAAAAAGTAGAGTATACGTATTCTTAAACCGATCTAGTAATTAATATATAAATCTCTGGGAAACTCTGTCTATTTTCAATATTTGCTGCATGCAGAGATTCAAGCGATGCGATTCAACGGCGGACTCAACGGTACCTGGAGGCAGGTTGAGAGATTTAACGATCTCGAGTATTATCAAACCATTAGTGTTGAATAATTTATACATATATTTTGCTAGCCAACTATGCTTTATTCTTTAATTTTTTAGCCTGTAAATATATGCTTTATGTACTTACTCTGGTAGCTGAAAGACTTTCTTTTAGTTGTTTTATTTATTTTCGCAAGCATTTGAGTTGCAAAGCCTGTGTTTCCTTTCTGTTATTTTTGGTAAGTTTTCTTTCCGTTTTTATTTTTTAATTTATTTCCTCATCGCCTGCATTATTTTATATTTTGTAATACCAAGTTTTCCAAGTTATGACATTTATTACAGCATTTGCACGTTCATTTGATATGACCCCGGGATTAGTTTAATAAAATATTAATATATCTTCTTATTTTTGTTTTCTTTACAGAAATCAAGGCACGCAAAAAGCATGCAAGTAAGTAAAAAAGAAAAATATATTAAAACTTGTTTTATATAATATATTAATATATTATTATGTATTACAAATATCATATTTATCTTCTCTTCTTTTCAGTCGAAAAAGATTTGGGCTTCCTGCGGATTGGTTCACTGAATGTCCGGGTAAAGAAGACCACCGAAGCGTTCAGCAATTTCTTGGGAGTGGGCAATGGCAGTGGAGTGGCCCAGATGCCCTATGGCGGGGCACCGGGAACGGGAGCAGCAAGTCACCCTCACCATCGATCTCGCCGAGCCCCTCATCAGCGTCATCATCACCACGTTGGTACGACACGGAATCGCCATCCGAATCAGAGGGCGGCGATGAGCACACCCTACGCCACTAACGGCGGCGGACTGCCGTCGAGGGCGAGTGCACCCAATAGCCATCGCAACATCTACGACGGAGTTCATAAGTCCTGGGGATCGGCAGATAATATAACTCAACGATCGGAGGAGCTAATGCCTCCACCCAAGTCGGTGGATTATGTTAGCAAGCAACGGAACAAGTCCTCGAAACGTTCGTCCTACGCCTCCAATGCCACCGATTCGCCCCGTGACTCCATCTGCTCCTCGAACTCCAGCTCCAATCTTAATGGTGGCTACAGCAGCATGCCCACCACTCCTAACCAGATGCGTGCCCCCAAGGGTATAGTTCCCTCCTTTGCCGCGGACTCTGACTCGGATTCCGCATGTGGATTCGACTCTAGTTGGTCGGTCAATTGTCGCAACTCTTCCAGCAGCAATCCTTCACAATCCTAATTACCTGAACAAGCCCATTATGTCTACCCCACTTAGGGGACACAACTTGAAACATTGACCATATGTAATCGTAAAAGTATTTGTTTTTCACTTAAACTAACAACAAAACTATATTTTTATAAGGAAATTTTATGTAAAACCGTGTGAGAAAATGTATTTTTTGGAAATAAAAGTTGTATTTTGTGTTTGAGAAAGAAATTTGGTTGGTAACTTAAAGAAAAAAGTTCAATTCATGATTATTAATGATAAAAGGCATTTAAGAAATTGATTTCAAATATATGTTAGCTGCGCGGGCAACTTGGTTTGAAAACGCGTTAGGACATATCTCACCATTGCGTCGACGAGTGTCAACAAGTTTCTAGCGTTCACATTCGACTCTTCTTCTTCTCTATTAATACGAATACACGTGCAGCTAAAATTCTTTGTTTATTTTAATTTAAAAACCTAATTTAAACTTTATAAAATGGGCAAAAAGGACAAGAACAAGAAGAAGGGCAAAGGAGCCGAGAAGACGGCCATGAAAACTGACAAGAAGCTGGCGGCAAAGCAAAAGAAAATGCTGGAGAAACTTGGAGAAGTAAGAATAGAGTAACTGCTATTAAAACAAAAATATAACTATTATTTATTAACAGGCCAACATAGCTGACATCATCCAACTATTGGAGACCAAGGAGGGAAAGATTCAGACCATCACTGAAAATGTTTGCACTCCGCCAAGTCCCCGATCCAATTTCACGCTGATTGCCCACCCGGAAAAGGAGGAACTCGTCATGTTTGGCGGAGAACTTTATACGGGATCAAAAACCACGGTTTACAATGATCTATTCTTTTATAACATAAAATCTGGAGAGTGGCGGGAGCTGAGATCGCCGGCAGGACCCACGCCAAGGAGCTGCCATCAAATGGTGGCAGTGGCCAGCAATGGTGGAGAACTGTGGGTGAGTTGGTATACTTATACAAAACTACAGGATTTTTTATTTAAAATGCACCTTCCTTAGATGTTTGGCGGAGAGCATGCCAGTCCCTCGCAGCTGCAGTTCCACCACTACAAGGATCTATGGAAATTCTCACTCAAGTCGAGGAAATGGGAGAAGGTGACGGCTCCCAATGGACCCAGTGCCAGGAGTGGTCACCGCATGACAGTATCCAAGAAGCGGCTGTTCATATTCGGCGGATTTCATGATAACAATCAGTCCTATCATTACTTCAACGATCTGCACATCTTCTCTTTGGAGTCTTATCAGTGGCTTAAGGTGGAGATAGCCGGAACTGTTCTGCCGTCGCCTCGCTCTGGCTGCTGTCTGGCCGCTGCTCCGGATGGCAAGATCTTTGTTTGGGGTGGTTACTCCAGGGCCAGCATGAAGAAGGAAGTGGATCGTGGTGTCACGCACACGGACATGTTCGTTTTGAGTCAAGATAGTAAGTTTTCTAGATAATCCATTTACTTTTCCATATATTAAGGATTATCATCTGATTCCCCACAGAAAACGCTGGCGATGCGGACAACAAATATAAGTGGACAGCCGTAAAACCCGGTGGATATAAGCCCAAGCCGCGCAGCAGTGTTGGTTATACCGTGGCAGCCAATGGCAAAGCTTACTGCTTTGGCGGCGTCATGGACGTTAATGAGGATGATGAAGATGTGCAGGGACAGTTCGGCGATGAGCTTCTAGCCTTTGATTTGACCGCTCAAACGTGGCGATTACAGGAGATCCAAACGAAAGCCAGTCCAGCTGAAAAGAAGGAGGAGACCAACGACGTGGAGATGTCAGCAGGTCCTGCTCAGCCCGTTACCACCACAACAGATGGTGTTTTCACGGTTACCGTTGGCGGACCCAGCACCAGCAGTACTCCCTATGTCTCCAACATACCTAGTCTATTCGGCAAACCGAAGCCGACGAATGTACCATCGCCGAGAATGAATCCAGGACTCTGCGTTTGCAAGGGCACACTGTACATTTTCGGTGGAATCCTGGAAGAGGATGCAAAGCAGTTGACCTACAATGATTTTTACTCCCTGGATCTGCACAAGTTGGAGTGGAAGGTCATAATCCCCAATAACTTAAAGGCACACGAATGGGAGGATAGCGACATCAGCAGTTCCGACGAGGAATGCAGCAGCCTGGAGGAAGATGATAGTTCAAACAGTTCCGATATGGATACGGACTAATATGGTTTGAAGTTTTTGCAAATGACTATTTTATAAATTTGGTTAACAATTCTCTTAAATGTATAAACAAAATGGAATCTTTTCGAACGTTCAATCAAGCCTCACAACTCCAGGATTTCGGTAAGGATGCGCTGCGTATCGTTGGGTGTATAAACCCTGTGGCTGATGGTGCGAGGATCGCTGTAAATCTCGTAATCGTTGCCGCCCGGCTCCGTTTTGTCACCGAAAAAGTGGATTTCCTTGAACTTGTAGTGGGCCTCGATATGTCGTAGGCAGTAGGTTTTGTCCCAGCCGTGCGGGAAGACATCGAAGCTGATCTGGCCACCGATGGAGTACGTGAGATCCACATCGGCGAACTCCTTCTTAAGGTCACTTATCATTTTCTCGCGGATCTTGTGTTCGTTGTCGTAGGCGGCGAACATATTCCGCTCCTCCCGTGAGCACTGGCGTCCAATGGGACAGACGTTCATCATGCCGTTCCGGAACTCGATGAAGGTTCCCCGCTTGATGGGCAGTTCCAGCTCGGACAGGTACCGTAGCACAAAGTTGATGAACCGCTGCAAAGTCATCTCTCCGAGATGCTTGATGATGTTCTGCTTGCCCACCTCCTTGCCGCCCTCAATCTGAACGAGTCCGTTCTCCGGGAATATGAAATCAAACTCATTGAGGATCTTCTGGCCGCTCAGCTGCTCGAACATCTTCTCCAGATCGGATCCACCTACGATTCCGATGGTCGCCCGGGGCTTCACCTTTGAGTAGAAGAACTCCTCGAACTCCGGTGTCACCACTGACCTTGGCATCGTCAGGGTTCCGTCCACGTCAAAGAGCAGAAGGATTTCGTCACGTTTCAGTGTTGCGGTGCTCATCTTTCATGAGAGTAATTGCCGAGCCGGGGTATTTATTGTCCAAGCAATTATGCCCACGTATGATTTTCAGATAAAAAACCCAGTGAGCGGCAACGCCGTTGTGAGTAATACCCTAAAGCTTTGGCGGCACCCGGCTTGGAGTGAACTGGTTCCGGAACCATTATCAAAACGTAATCAATTTTTTTAAGAAATTAAACTATAACATAACTTTTGAATTTATGATCCTAGAACTAGGGGAATAACTAATAAATTAAACAACATTTTAGTATGTTGGAAGCTTTTAAAAATGCTCAGCAAATTCCTATCAGATTTGCAAATATTTCTGCTCTCAGCGCAATAAACTTATTGGAAATTTAGCTTCAAAAATTAAATATTTATCAATTTAAGTACACTTTTAAAGTCTTCTGCTTAGTTCATGCTGTTAAAGGTCAGACACAGCCTGGATTCAATATATTTTTACAGATCTTAAGTTATGTACATTGTAAGGCCAAATCGTGTAAACAAAACATACACTAATTTGGGTTTTGAGGGGTTCAATTAACGTATTCTATTTGGGGTTCTTTACTTCGCCTTAATGTGCTGCAGTTCATCTCGTTTGATTTTGCTGTATTCTTGCAGGGTCTTGTATTTCTCCGTATTGAGCATGGGGTCCACAATTACAGGATATAGCGTCAGACCTACGGCACCCACGATGCAGGAAACGAAGCCAACAAATCTCCATCCACGCAGAACTGCCATTTCTAAGAGAATTGTTTTGATAAAAATATTTTCTGTTTGTTATTATAAAACACAAAACACCTGGTTGGTTGGTCCGTTAGGTGCTAAAAAATTCCATACGGAAGGTCATACTAAGCCAGACCATGGAACCATGATAAGAAATATACTAAACTAAATAACAATAGCGAATTGTTGAATAAATCTTTAAGAAAAGTGGCTTCTCAATAAATGGACACGCTTTTCAAAACAATTTGGTGGGATTTTCAACTAAATTAGGGAAAATTACCTATTTCGATCTTTTTCGATTATTTTAGTATATATCGCGGCAGAAAATATTCCTATTGGCCATTTAAACAATTGTATAAAATATGCATGCCCCATGAATGGAATTGACATTCCAAGCATTTTGGTAAATGTTTCATCAAAATCCGTTCAACCGTTCAAGAGAAAACATCGCATTTTCATTTATTTCCATAAATGTTCCTACGAAGAATAAATATATCTGGCAGCACTGCCTGTATAAAATTAAGTCAATTTAATTGAAACTTTATGGTTAAACCTATGCAACAAGAAGGTAATACAATAAACGGCATCGCAGTTCTGAACATTTTGATCCATGTTTCATCAAAATCCGTTCAGTCGTTCATAAAAAATCCCTAATTTTTCATTTATTTCTATTTATGTGCCGGCGAAGAATAAATATATCCGGCATCACTACCAGTTTAAATAAGTGTATTTGATTTAAACTTTATGGTTAAACCTATGCAACAGAAAGGTAATTCAATAAACGGCATCGCAGTTCTGAACATTTTGATCCATGTTTCATCAAAATCCGTTCAGTCTTTAATGAGAAATCCCGACTTTTTCATTTATTGCCGTAAATGTATGTATGTATGTGTGTATGTTCGACGAAGATTGTTAAATAAAATAATGTGATTTTAACTTAATGGTAGGACGAATACATGCAAATGGAATAAACGGCACTGTAGTTCTCAACATTTTAATCCATTATACATTAGTGAGAGTATATAGAAGACTAACTGCAAAGTTTTATTTAGATAGCTGTAAATAAGAGGGTCTAGTTTGCTTATAATTGAACAGACAGGCAGATGGACATGGCTGGATAGACTCGGCTGTTGATGCTGATCAAGAATATACATACTTTATAGGGTCGGAAATAATTTATTCACTGCGTTGCAAATTTTTGACCTAAAATCATATTACAAAGCAAGGGCATTGAAGCACTAGATTTGAGAAACAAATTTTCGAAATAACTTTTAATAGTCTGCCCAATAATAGATATCATTATTCTAAGCAATTTGGTGGGTGTTTCATCGAAATCCGTTCAGTCGTTTTGGAGATATTAACATTTGAATTACTAATTTATATACTAAGGAGGCATGACTCTGCATCCCTGGTACCCAACTGCAATAATTGAAAAAGTCGGGATTTCTCATTAAAGACTGAACGGATTTTGATGAAACATATATCAAAATGTTCAAAACTGTGATGCCGTCTATGGGAAAATCTTCCTTTTGCATAGGTTTAACCATAAAGTTTAATTCAAGTTTTCTTGTTTTTAGGCAGGCAGGGCTGCCGGATATATTTTTATTTCACCGGTACATAAATGGAAATAAATGAAAAAGTCGGAATTTCTTATAAACGACTCAACGGATTTTGACGAAACGTGGATCAAAATGTTCAGAATTGCGATCCCGTAATGGTACGATTTTCATTTTGCGTAAGTCTTATCTAAAATTAAAGTTTAAATCAAATTGACTTAATTTAATAAAGGCAGTGCTGCCAGATATATTTATTCTTCGTAGGAACATTTATGGAAATAAATGAAAATGCGATGTTTCCTCTTGAACGGCTGAACGGATTTTGATGAAACATTTACCAAAATGCTTGGAATGTCAATACCATTCATGGGGCATGCATATTTTATACAATTGTTTAAATGGCCAATAGGAATATTTTCTGCCGCGGTATATACTAAAATAATCGAAAAAAATCGAAATAGGTACTTTTCCCTGATTTAGATGAAAATCCCACCAAATTGTTTTGAATGGCGTTTCCATTTATTGAACAGTCACTTTTCCTAATGTTTTATTCAACAATTCGCTATTGTTATTTAGTTGAGTATTTTTCTTATCATGGTTCCATGGTCTGGTTCAGCGAGTGGTTCTCTGCATGTTCCCATCTGGTTCCATTTTCATAATTCGCGCCTTAGCTGTCAGCCCAAATACACCACCCACTGTTTTTAGATTTTCTCGAAATCTGGCGGTTAAAAACAATTTAAATTTTTACCAAAAAATACTCGTTAATCTTCCCCTAGTAAGCCTATACACCGTGCATATGTGCACGCGTGCGTTAATCGAAGTTATATGTCTTACAATTTTTGATGCCCTGTTTTGTATGGAGCCGACCCCGAGGTTAGATCACTAATATGCGATTTGTTTAAAAACTGGGGTATTGCTGCACGCGTTTGATTAGCCGAGATATTAAGAAATCTGCCTTTTTTCTAAAGAATAAGTATAAATTGAACAATTCTAAGATAACAATTTATTAAAATATCATAAAGTTTAGCTATGTTTACATACTACCAACGTAAGTTAGTCAGCTTAATTATTTTTTTATAACTATTATTCATTATATCCGATGCCCACTGTATCTACCTGTTGGTATTTTCCCTGTCCCAAGGCTGGTATACTCGAACCATCGGTCTCTGGTCACACTGATTGGTATTGAGCTCGGCTTGGGTGTGGTGTATTGTTTGAGTAATTGTTAAAGATTGGCCTTTTTAAGTTAAATTACTTGCTTTCTGAAAATGGCTAGAAGCCTCGTTTTTGTGGCTCTAGTCGGCGCTTTATGTTTCACCCTCGCTTACTGTAAGTACAGATCGAATGCGTAGTCCAAGCATCCGTGTTTACTTGGGCGTTGGCATGACTCCAAAATATTTTCGTAAACCACGATTTTTTTCCATACTATCCAGCTCAACACCATTACGATGAGCACAGAACTAGAGAAATTATCTGGTGCACAAAGAGCCTGGAGGAACAGTACAAGTGCGGAAACCTAACGGTGGCCATCGAACGAGATCGCGCCCTCTTCGACGATGTGTTCCTCAACCTCACCTGCTTCAGGGCCTACAGTGCCGATGAGTGTATTCATCACATTGATCGCGAGAAGGCGCACATCACTTCGCTGGATGCTGGAGACGTCTTCACTGGTGGTCGATACAATTCATTGATACCAATTATGCAAGAAAAACTGGAAGGTGGCTTTGCGGAATACCAATCGGTTGCAGTGATCAAGAAAGGATCCCTGCAGGATGTGACCAATTTGCATGATATTAGGAATAAGCGGGCATGCTTTCCCTGGGTGGGCAGTCTGGCGGGCTGGATTGTTCCTATTCACACGGTTAGTTCAGACTTATTATTATGGATTTTGAGTACTCTTAAACGTTAAATTTCCTTAAAACATCAAACAATTTCCTTAAGTTTTCTAAGACTCAACTTTTACAATGACTTCCACCTGTATTTCAGCTCCAACGAGAAGGCGGCATGGAAGTGGTGGACTGCAACAACCAAGTGAAGACAGCGGCCAGCTACTTCAACAGCTCTTGTGCTGTGTACTCGCTCTCCGATAAATACAATCCCATTGGCGACAATTCCGACAAGTAAGAGCTCAGAGCTCAGCTTTGTTTTTAAACTTCAACATAATGTTATGTTGGTTTTCAGACTCTGCACCCTTTGCACTGGAAAGATTCCTGGTGGGCGCTGTTCAGCTGCTGATCCTTATTACGGCTATGAAGGTGCTTTTAAGTGTCTTTTGGAAAAGGGAGATGTCGCCTTCTTGCGACACTCGACAGTTGCAGAAATGCTGCAAACAACTGAGTTTAGTGAGTAATAAATTACCAAACACTTTGCCATTTTAAATTAACTTTAATTTACTTTTTAGAAAACGTGCAACCTAACAATTTCGAGCTGCTCTGTCGCGATGGTCGTCGCGTTCCCATCAATGACTACCGCCAGTGCAATTGGGGCCAAGTGCCCGCCGATGCCATTGTGACATCATCCGCGCGAAGCTTTGCCGATCGAAAACAATACCAACAGTTCCTGAAGCGCATTGCGGAGCTGTACTCCGATGGACTCCGCGACGACCGTGGCAGGCAGAACGGGCAATCCGGGCAGGGGTTCAATAATAACTTTGATGGAAACAATTACAATCAGCAGCAGGGTCAGAGCGGTGCCTATGACCAGTTTAACAATCAATATGATCCCAACAACCAATACAGGAGCCAGAATCAGTACGATCAGTACCGCAACGAACGCTTGGATAGCAGTTTTTCGGCAGATCACAACCCCCTGGACGGCACCAACACATCCATTCTTTATGAGAAGTTCCGAATCTTCGAATCGAAACGTTATGGCAAGCCAAACCTACTCTTCCAGGTGAGTTCTATTTATTTGTTTTAGGTGTAGACGTTTTTATAAAAATGTCGTTTTTTATAGGACTCTAGCAGGGCTCTCACTGTCATTCCGGAAGATGATCAGTCGTTCACCAAGTACTTGGGCGATGCCATCCGATTTATTTACGGAATTCGTGAATGCCCAGTACCGGCAATGACCCTTTGCGTAACCTCTGAGTATGAACTGGAGAAGTGCATCAAGATGAGGGTAAGTCAGAGGGAAGAAGGAAGGAAAATGGAAATACCTATTTACCTTTTTCCAGACCGCTCTGAAAGCCCACATCCTGAAGCCCGAGCTTATCTGCAAGAAGATGCATTCCCATATCAATTGCATGCAATTCATCCAAGCTGGAAAGGCTGATATCGCTGTCTTCGATGCTGGCGATGTCTACACCGGTGGACTCAATTATAACTTGGTTCCGTTCATGTCTGAGGTGTACAATCTGGGCGAACCGGAGTACTATGTCGTGGCAGTTGCCAAGGAGGAGGATCCCGACACAGAACTCACATATCTGAAGGGCAAGAACACCTGTCACACGGGCATCAACACCGCCGCTGGATGGACATATCCAATGGCTCACTTTATTTCCAACGGCTGGATTCGTCCCTACGGTTGCGACTCCATCCGTGCTGCCGCAGAATACTTCACTAAGTCGTGTGTTCCAGGTGCAATTAGCAGTGAATACAACACGGGAGTGCCCTATGATAGCATGTGTGACCTGTGCCATGGAACTAGCTATAGGTACTGCCGGCGTGACGCTTCGGAGGATTACTACGGACATACGGGAGCATTCAGGTGTCTTGTGGAGGGTGGAGGACACGTAGCCTTCATGAAGCACACCACGGTGATGGAAAGCACTGGCGGCAAGCGCAAGGAATGGTGGGCACGTAACGCTCTCAACGATGACTTTGAATTGCTGTGCACGGACGGAACCCGAGCGGAGATTAACGAGTACAAGCGCTGTAACCTGGGCAAGGTAAAGGCCAATGCCGTGGTGACGCGCGGCGGTCCCAGCTACAACGAGACGCAGCTGAATGCTTACATCAACCTGCTGACCTATGCCCAGCAGCTGTACGGCCGTAAGGATGTGGATGCCTTTAGCTTCAGCATGTTCTCATCTCCGATCGGGCAGTACGATCTGATCTTCCAGGATGCTACGCGCCAGTTACAAGTCATTCCAGCAAACAAGCGGACTTACGATGCCTATTTGGGCAGCGATTTTATGCGGGCACGCCGCATCACCGACTGTTATGCCGGTGCCTCCCAGGCGGCCTTATCCCTAGGACTGCTCCTCGTGGGCTCCTTAGTTGCAATCCTCTAAACATCCCCAATAGACATACTCGGTAAGGTTTTAAAGTTCAACAAAAAGTGTACAAGAATCTCTAGCACAAAAAGGAAACATATCAGAAGTCTTACATTCCAAATATTTATAAGTTCGAAGATATATCCAATTCCGTCCGAAAAATCGAATTCCCCTTAGCCGAAATAATCTTAAAAAGGCTATAATTTATATATATTTTAGTGCCTGTGCCTTAAAATATAGTATTTGTTTTGTGTACGTACCAACTAAGTCCGTCCAAAAAAAGTGTACCTAGAATTTATAAGCCGAATCTTTTACAAAAGCTTTTTTAAGTATACAAATAAAAAAAAATATCGAAATGACTAACTTCGTTTATTAAAACTGTATTTTAAATTAACTTTTAAATCTTATTCATCATGATTTGTTTCAAACAATTTGTATTTGTATTGTATTTACGAAACTCTTCTAAAATACGTTAAAATCATTTTAAGCAGTCATGCAGTGTGACCAGAATGCGAGAAAAGTTATAACGGCGGGGAAACGCAACGGTCACACCCACCTGCATAAAATCCATTATTCGCTGTGGCAATTCGTAAAAATTCGAAAGCTGCTCCGGAAAACCGGACCCTTTCACCTTGCTCTGGACCAGTTGCGCCATCCTAATATCTCGCAAAATGTCGATCAATCTCCGCACCGTTTACGCCTTCGCCCGGGAGATGTACCCAAAGGTTTCCACGGAGCACATTCAATACGGAACAGCTGGCTTCCGCGGCAAGTAAGTTTCAGTTAATTAACGATCTAGCTGACTTAATTATGAAGTTAAAACACCCCCACACCCATGCGATGCATGCGTTGTTCCGTGAGAGTGTGTTGTTTGATTGCCAAATGCCAGTGTTTGCTTAAAGATAAGTAATGTGATTGCATGCAGCATGTTGTTGAAGCGGCGGCGGTTTATTTTTAGATGTTGTTCACCTTTTATCAATGGACATGCCCTTCTTTCGCTTCTTCTATATGTTGGGAGGGGGTGGTGTGCATGTGCATGGGCGCATACATACTGACATACAGTCCGGGTCAGCGAAGTAGGTTCCATAGGTGCAGTGTTATAAGGTTATTATCCATAATCTGCGATAGAAATAACTATGTATCTATACAGTGCACCTTCAATATAATAAATTGAAGTACAGTATAATAATAATAATAAAAAATTTCACTCCACAGGGCTGAGTTCCTGGACAGCGTGATGTTCCGCATGGGAGTTCTTGCCACCCTGCGATCGAGGTATCGCGAGGGCGCGGTTATCGGTGTAATGATCACGGCATCGCACAATCCAGAGCCGGATAACGGCGTCAAGCTGGTCGATCCCAAGGGTGAAATGCTGGAGGCTAGCTGGGAATCGATTGCCACCGATCTAGTCAATGTCAGCGACCAGGAACTGGAGCAACATGTGGCCAAGATAATCAAAGAGAACAACATCGATGTGACGACGAGTTCTCAGGTGTTTGTTGGCATGGACAACAGATACCACAGTCCGCGATTACTCAAGGCCGTAGCGGACGGAGTGATAGCCCTGAAGGGCAATGTCAAGGAGTACGGTATTGTGACCACGCCCATGCTGCACTATTTCGTGGTAGCGGCCAACACTAAGGAGGCTTACGGGAAGCCCACCGAGGAGGGCTACTACGAGAAGCTGATCAAGGCCTTCGAGCTGCTGAGAAACGGCCGACTGGAGAATGGCAACTACCGGAATAACATCATCTTCGATGGTGCCAACGGAGTGGGTGCCCGCAAGATGCTGCAGTTCATTAAGCGCATGAAGAGTTCCTTAAATGTGACGGTTATCAACCAGGGCATCGGCCCCGGCAAAATCAACGAAGACTGCGGTGCGGATTACGTTAAGGTGCAGCAGAGGCCGCCGAAGTCCATGCCTGAGGTGGCACCCTTTACCCGTTGTGTAAGCGTAGACGGAGATGCCGATCGTGTGGTGTACTTCTTCACCAACGACAAGGCCGAGTTCCAGCTCCTGGATGGCGATCGCATTGCCACCTTGATTGCGGGTTACCTAATGGAGCTGGTCACGCAGGCCGAGATCGATCTGAGGCTAGGCCTGGTGCAGACAGCCTACGCGAATGGTGCCTCCACCGATTATATAGTCAACGAACTGAAGTTCCCCGTCTCCTGTGTTCCCACGGGAGTGAAGCATCTGCACCACAAAGCCCTGGCCTACGACATTGGTGTCTACTTTGAGGCGAACGGCCATGGAACGATTGTGTTCAGCGACAATGCGAAGACAACTATTGCCAAGGCTGCGGAAACCAAAGAGAGTGCCAAGACCTTGCTGCTTCTCATCGATCTTATCAACGAAACCGTTGGCGATGCCATCTCCGACATGCTGCTGGTCGAAACGATCCTGAACCACAAGGGCTGGGATGTCCAGGATTGGATCTCATCCTACAACGACCTGCCCAACCGACAGCTCAAGGTGAAGGTGCAGGACCGAAACGTAATCGAGACCACGGATGCGGAGCGAGTGTGTGTCAAGCCGGAGGGTCTGCAGGCGGAGATCAACAAGGTGGTGGCGAACTACAAGAGGGGTCGCTCCTTTGTGCGCCCCTCTGGAACAGAGGACGTGGTCCGAGTCTATGCGGAAGCGTCTACAAAAGAGGTTATTCCTTAATAAGTATATTATATCCAAATCTCTTATAATGTATGTAATTTCTTTGCAGGACACGGATAACCTGGCCTACGAAGTCGGAATTCTGGTGCAAAAGCTTGCCGGCGGTGTGGGACCCGAATTGACGAAGCCAAGCAGTGCCCATCTTTAATCCTAAAAACGTACCAACCTCAAATCGAAGTAAATCGATCATTGACACAGGTCCTGAGCAATAAATCTCTTTACTCTAAGGTGCTCAATACTTACGCCTAATTTTACGAAAAAGTCTTAAATTTCAAATGCATTTATATACCTGTAATTGTTCTACTGTCTTCTGTGTTCTAAAGATGAGATGTGTTTTTTATACCACTAAAAATATAATGTTCTAGTTGTTTTAATGAGGTGGAAGTTATTTGAAGACCTTAATTATACAACGTATTGCTAACATCTCGTTATTATTTGTATTAATCATCATTATAAATTGAGCAATTAGACAAGTAGGCAAGATTTTAAATTAATTTTAAAAACGTCAAAGGTTAAAAAACAAAATATTCCACAGGTTATATTTTGAATCCTCAAAATAACATACCTAAAGTTACCAGTGTGACCGCACTATAAAGCAGAAGTTGGAGATTTTTAGGGGAAAGCCAAATATTCATCTGGCCACACTGCTACGTTTGCCGTGCTGTCACTTTAGCTGATGCAATTTTAGTTTTTCCACTAAATTAAAGTTATTTGCTAGCCAACGAGTATTTATAGAGCAAAATCACAATGGACGCGGAAGACGTAAGTTATTTTTCAACGCCGACAAATACTTTCCCCACGAGAAACCCTGCCCTAGAAAGCGAGTACATACGTATGTCTTCTACATGTGCGCACTTGTATGTGTGTATGTATTTACATATTTTTGTATAAAAACGGCGAAAAATGAGGTTATGTTGGTTTAATCCTGATTTAAACATGCGAATCCTTTTTAATTGTGCAGGGTTTTGATCCCACTTTGTTGAAAAAGAAGAAGAAGAAGAAGACCACCTTCGATCTGGACGCTGCGTTAGGTCTAGAAGACGATAGCAAGAAAGAGGATCCCCTAGATGAAGCGTCGGCGGATGCAGGTGCCGCTGAACTGGAGGACAACCTAGATCTGGAGAGTTTTGGCAAGAAGAAGAAAAAGAAGAAGAAGCCTTTCAATATGGACGAGATTGAAGCGGCAGTGCCGAGCTTCGGTGGCGACGATGCAACAGCGGCCACGGAGGAGCCCGAGGAGGAGGAGATCAATCTGGATATGGACTTTTCGATGGCTAAAAAGAAGAAGAAGAGCAAGAAGAAGGATCTGGACGAGCTGTTTGCCGACAAGTTGGATGAAGACAAGGGCGAGGACAAAGAAAATGGTATGACTAATTGATTTTCATCAACTTGCCGAAGGTTTCATAATTTCGATAAGAATTGGTTTATAAGTAATAAACCATTGATTTTGTATTGTTTTAAACCATTTTCTTACTTTTCAGTGGAAGACAATAGTTCAACCTGGGCTGGTTCCGATCGTGACTACACATATGACGAGTTGCTGAAGCGCGTCTTCGAAATCATTCTCGACAAGAATCCGGACATGGCCGCCGGTCGCAAGCCCAAGTTTGTGATGCGTCCGCCCCAGGTGCTGCGCGTCGGTACCAAGAAGACCTCCTTTGCCAACTTCATGGACATTGCGAAAACGCTGCATCGCCTGCCCAAACATTTGCTAGACTTTTTGCTGGCCGAGTTGGGAACGAGCGGCTCCATGGACGGCAACCAGCAGCTGATTATTAAGGGTCGCTTCCAGCCCAAACAGATCGAGAACGTACTTCGGCGCTACATCAAGGAGTATGTCACCTGTCACACCTGCCGCTCTCCGGAAACGATACTGCAGAAGGACACGCGTCTATTCTTCCTGCAGTGCGAGTCGTGTGGTTCCCGCTGTTCGGTGGCCAGCATTAAGTCAGGTTTCCAGGCTGTCACCGGCAAACGTGCCGCAATTCGAGCAAAAACAACCTAAATTCTCCTTATTTAACAAAATGCTTGATTTTTTATTACCAGTAAAATTTCAATACAAAAAACGTTTATTTGTGTGTTGTAACGTGCGTTGTACCCTTGTAATTGTGATGCCAGCTTAACAAGTGATTGGCAAAGCCTATTTCTAGTTTTCGGGATGAGCCGCTGTCTATGAAAAATGAATAGGCATCCAGACCGATATTTCCCCTGAAGTTATTCGGTCTTCCGCGCAGAAACAAGTTGTGGCCCCTCTGTATCGCTCCGGGATCTATGTACTCCGTGGCAGCCCCCAGAAGGCGGATCAAGCTCTCGGCTATGGGCTTGAAGGTTTCGGAGGAGGCCAGTGAAGTGGCTTCTGCGTGGAGGCCAGCAATAGTTTGCTTTTTCGCCTGACCCTTGCTTATACTCGCCTCCAGAAACCCGGTGCTATCATCAATATGGTATTTGTTAAAGGCCGTGTTATGCGTTCCGTATCCGGCGACAAACGCGTACACAATGCAGGTGCGAAAATAAATGGGATCGGAGGCGTTCTCTTTGTTATGAGTTATAAAAACATCTGGCGTTTCGGGATCCTGGGTTGCCCGTATAATGTGCGCCAAGGTCAGGGGTATATCTTCGTGAATTTTAGGACCCGATTTGGCAGAATCGGTTTTATGGAAATTAGCGTTGGGTGGGTTTTTGCGAATGATAAAATTGTCGACTCGATCTTCGACATCATAAAAACTTATGTTCGAATCCATAACTGAAATTAAATAAAGCATTTAACATTAAATTAATTAACACCAGTTGGAGTTTATTAAATATTTACCTAATTGTTTGTTCCCTTCAAATACTTGTAAAAATAATATAACATTTATGCCCGCCTGCTTTTAATTACATACATACAAATGTCTATCGATAACTGTGTTTATCGTCTGCACTTTCATAGATAGAACTAAGAGGGTTACATTTTATATCTCTTATATGTATTAAATTTTATTTAAATAATTATGTTGTCATTATAATAAATATTATTTCATTTCCTTTTTCATATTTATAAATGGTCTTATAACCCAAAAAATAACCCCTTTTTCCCGACTTGAGAAATTTTGACTACGCCCTTGGGTGTATTTTTTAAATAGGTTAATTAAAATTGTATATAAAGCTGAATGCCACTGTCCAATGATAAATATTTAAACGCAATAAAATACAATCATAAACAAACTAATAAAATAGTCTTTATTTTCTATTTCACCACAAATCTAAATTCTTTGTTAAACGTCAGCAAGTTGGCAGCCCCGTTTTACGCAGCCCTGTGTTTTTCGAGTTGAGAGTCTTGTGAAATTACGAAAAAGTACACTTTGTGCAAAAGCAAACAATCAGATCGAAGCATACGGTGTCCTTGGAATGTCTGGTGGTCCATCCATAACGCTTAAGAGCCAACCCATCGATGGTAACAACACTGGGAATGCTGCAGCGGCTCAGCAGCAGACTGCGAATGGCGCAGCATCTGGATCCTCTGCCGCCGCCGCTGCTGCTGGCAGCCAAGCCCAGAACCATGGCAACGGCGGAGTAGGCGGCAGCGGGAGTGCTCCGGCAGAGGGTACACGGCAGAATAGTCTTCAACGCATCCAGCAGAGGAAGCAAAAGGTATTCAACCTACCTGTGGCCCAGAAACTGGCCAAGCTCTCGATGTACTCGTCCTGCCAGTCGGAAGGATGCCGTTGCACGGGCTGGAAAACTCCTCAGGAGAACCGCCATCGCGATGTGGAGTCCTCTTACTGTCCGGAGTTCAACGAGGAGTGTCGCAACTCCAGCTGCCGCCACTCCTTGCGAACGCACATCGCTCATCTGGACAATATTTCCAGCTCCAGCATGGACGAACTGCTGGGCGCTATCATCGACATGGAAAACCTTTTTATGTCCATGCAGCGCGTGGAGGACGAGGACACCAAAAAGGTCTATCTGTATCTTTTCCGATTGCTTCGCCAGTGCGTCCTGACGCGCCAGCAAGCTGTGATCCGTGGTCCTCTAGGGGATCCACCATTCGAGTCGCCTTGCATCACCAAGGCGGTGCTTTCACTGGTCTTCTACAAGTACAACCATCTCAATCCGACTGAGCTGCAAACCATGACCGAGGTGGCCAAGACTTTCCTCAACTTCCTAAATCACTACAATTTTGAATCGCCGTCAACGAGGCGGGGAGATCTCACCCACGAGGATGCCTCCAACTATAAGATCAACTACACCCGCTGGTTAGTTTTCTGCCATGTGCCCGCCTTCTGCAACTCCCTGCGTCAGTTTGAAACGTCCCTGGTCTTCGGGCGCACCCTGCTGAGAACCGTGTTCCAGTACATGTCCCAGCAACTGAAGAAGAAGTGCATCTCGGAGAGGGACCGTTTCCCCGAGGACAAACGGTCGATCATCACACAGATGCCCAAGTTCCTGGAGGCTTTGCGGGCCGAGCTGCTAAAGGACGACTCGCCGATTTGGGATCCCAACTACCGCCCGCCCAATTCGTTTGTCATCCAGCAGAGGAAGAGGCATCAGGAAGTGGCGCCCGTAGTAGCCCCGGGGGAAGTGTGGCCTCCGTGGGTAGCGCCAAGCGTGCCAGTGTGGGCGAACCTCTGCACAAGAGGATCAAGAAGGAGCCGACGGATCGATGCGTCAGGTTTGTTATCAAGAAAGTCTTCCTTTGATTTCGATACTAATGAACTTCCTTTAGTGAAAACTTGGATGACCTGCCGACGGATGTGGTGATGCGTGCCATGAAATCGGTGTCTGAGTCGAAAACCACCAACAAGGCTGAAATTCTGTTTCCGGTCAATGTTTCCCGCGATGAGAACGTGAAGGCGGAGGAGCAGAAACGAGCCATCGAGTTCCATGTGGTGGGTAACTCGCTAACCAAGCCGGTGGATAAGCAGACGGTGCTCTGGCTCCTGGGCCTGCAGCTGGTGTTTGCCTATCAGCTCCCGGAGATGCCGCGCGAGTACATTAGTCAGTTGGTTTTCGACACCAAGCACAAAACTCTGGCGCTTATCAAGGAAAATCAACCCATTGGCGGCATATGCTTTCGTCCGTTCCCCTCGCAGGGATTCACGGAGATCGTCTTCTGTGCTGTGACCATGTCGGAGCAGGTAAAGGGCTATGGCACGCATCTGATGAACCACCTGAAGGATTACAGCATTCAGCGTGGCATCAAGCACTTACTGACCTTCGCCGATTGCGATGCCATTGGATACTTTAAGAAGCAGGGATTCTCAAAGGACATCAAACTGGCGCGACCCGTTTATGCGGGTTACATTAAGGAGTACGATAGTGCCACTTTGATGCATTGCGAGCTGCATCCAAGTATCGTGAATACACAATTCATTGCGGGTTAGTTGTGGCCAACAAACATGTGCTGCTAAACATATTTTACACATAGTTTTCCTGTTTCCAGTGATACGTAATCAGAGCGAGATCCTGAAGGAGCTGATAGCACAACGGCACAATGAAGTGCAGAAGGTTAGGCCCGGATTGACATGTTTCAAGGAGGGTCTGCCTTCCATTCCCGTTGAGTCGATTCCCGGCCTTCGGGAGATCGGCTGGAAGCCACAAATGCGCCCGGCACGATCGGCTCGACCTCTGGAGGAATCTTCTGATCCAGAGAAACTGGCCACTTCATTTGCATCCGTGCTGCAATCGGTACGCCAGCACAACACGGCGTGGCCCTTCCTGCGTCCGGTGACGGCGGCTGAGGTGCCAGACTATTACGATCACATCAAGTATCCCATGGACCTAAAGACGATGGGCGAACGCTTGAAGAAGGGGTACTACCAGACCCGTCGCCTATTCATGGCCGACATGGCCCGCATCTTTTCCAACTGTCGGTTCTATAACTCACCCGACACTGAGTATTATCGCTGTGCCAACTCCCTGGAACGCTATTTCCAGACCAAAATGCGAGAATTGGGGCTGTGGGACAAATGATGCAGCGATTCCGAGGAGCTTTGTATAAAACCGAATATTTAATCTTCTTCACTTTACTGGAGAGCGTTATTTCTCTTATATTTATTTAGAGTTTCCTTCCTACCAAAAGACCCTTGTGTGAATTACATGAATTCTGGATTTATATATTGTTCTTGAGAGACACCCATATATCGTAATCGAGCACTTTGTCTGTCTTATTTATTTAGACGACGGGCTAGATTAAGCTAGATCTTTAAAAAATATAATAAACTGTAACTTTATAAACTATTATACCGCACTAATAGAAGAGTTCTGTATACATAGCATCCCAACAATGTTTATCACCGTTTAAGATGGTCATGTCTGTCTATCCGTTTCCATTCAAACTAGTCTGACCGAAAAATTAAAAGAAAAAAACATTCACCTTTTTTGGAAATTTTCATACAATTAATTTTATTTTTATAGTTGAGACGCAATCGGAAAATCAATACATAATAATAACTTCGCCGTTGTTCGAATATAAATAATCATTTATTTATGATCGATTTTAAACTCTGCCCTCCGAGTCAGCATCCTTTCGTGTTTCCACTTTTTCTGATGATATATACCCCAAATTCTAAGTCATCTTCATTTTTTTTAAAGGAGTGCAACATGGCTCCACCAATTCCATATACTTGTAGTCTATATTTCAGACAAATATTCAGTTACAGTGAAATCAATTAACACTTAACCGCCCAACAAAAAAGTCAAAGTTCGGTTAGATTCTTTTTGTAACCTCTACATTTTGTATTCTTAACTCTTTATTTCACTTTTGATTTCCTACATTCATTGTTGTTGGTTTTGCATGCGTTTAAAGTTAAAGGATCTCTCTTTGTTTTCGTTTGGTTTTAGTAAACACATTTCTTGTTTAATAATGTCGAGTTGTTATATAAAATTATAGTTTTATTTAATATTAGGGGGGCGGGGGGAGTTTAATCGAATTGTTAGGTCATTGTACAAAGGCTCTTTCTTGCATCATACATTGTACATATATGTATGTCCAATCGGATCCCACGAATGCATGGCCGAAATGTTAACCGTAGTTGCTGCTTCTTACTTTGTTGAATTTCAATTATGTTTTATTACATGGTTATTAAGTTGGGTTTTAATTTCAATGTGGTAGAGTCTTTACAATTTTGCCTTGTTAAATCCATGTTGTTCTTAATCATTTTTTAACCCGATAATTTGCGTATTTATATATACATATACATACATATGTAGAGCTAATCAGGGGTGAGCATATATATGTGGAGAGATATACATATTACATACAATTACATACATTATTTATGATTACATTATATTGAAATGTGAGTGTAGCTGCTCCTCGGCTCCTGCTGCAACTGAGTTTGAGTGTCTATGTTTGCTATGCACGATTTGTGCTGATTTTTAATACAAATATAAAGGATAACAAACGAAATATCTAAAATCAGGCTCAAGGACTTGCGACTGGAAACATATGTTTGCTTGCTCACACATCGTAATAATTTACTTGGTTTCAAGGCCGCTGCGACTCCAATCTTAACATTTACTTCGTGAACATCGCGATAAGTATAAATTCCATTGCAGGCGAATTGTAAGTAATGTTTGTATGTGTGTACAATTTGTATGCCCAACCGAGATCAAAAATTAAAGTTTACTTAGCTATTTCGAAGTGATTTTTCTGGCTAAATTTAAAATAATAATGACAAACATGCTACTGGTTATTATTTCGGAAAACACCTCTCTTCTGTTCTGTTCACTCTTCAGCTGGGCTGGGGATTGACTTTTTACAATTGTGCAATATTCCAACAAGCGCACGTTGCTGCTGCTGATTTTATTTATAATTTCATATTTAAAATTTCTTAGATAATATATATATTTTTTGTTGTTAAATGCTAGTGTAAAACGTATCGGATGATTCTGGTCGATGTTTCACGACGCCCACTTGAAAAACAGAATTACATGAATGATTTTCTGTCTATTTCTGGTTTCATTCAAATAAAAAAAATGTGAACTGCGGCTTTTATTAAAGATTTGTTTGGGAATTCCATGGATTTAATTTTTGCTGTTTTTTGCTCCATTAATTTCATTATTTTTATCGACTCTCCTCCGCGATTTCTTCGTGTTCTGCTTATTTTTGTTGTTTTGTAACTTTCATCTTACGCTACTATATGTTTTTCACATCTATTACTAAATATATAATGTAATGCATGTTGCAGGCGTTCTGTTATCTCCTTTCGTTATCGTTATCGTAACCGTGCTGTTGTTCTGCTTAGCGAAAGGCTGTTGGAACCAGCCATTTACACAAAAACCTAACAGATGGCCGGTTCACAAATCGCTAATCGCACGAAAGCGAGCGTTAATCGCCGCCAAAACACACGGCGAACTGTGGTGAGCGCGCGCGCAGGACGTCGTGAGAATTGCTAACACTAAGTTAATTATACAATTATATTTTTATATGCCGTTAGATCCATAACTCGAAATTCCTGATAATATAAGAGCCTGTGTGTCGTCGATCGGTCGGTTGATTGGGGTTGCTTCGAATAACTAGCTTTGCGATGATGAAAAGGATATTATTTACTTTCTGCTTCTCCTCCTCGATTCGTTTCCATCAATTGTTGGTTGGTATTTAAAGTGGTTCTCCACTGGCTGGGCGGCACTATTGAGCTGCAATGGTAAACAAGGGATTCTAGGCAAACATTCGCACATACGAAAAAAAAGGAGCTAATAATTGCTACTCACAGACTGCCGCCACCTGTTGCGTTTGCTCTGGCAAGAGGGACGTCGACTTTGACGTCGCGTTTGTTGTATTAGAAGCAGAGTCCATGGTGTTGGATCCAGAACTGGCAGCATTATTGGCCGCCTTCAATGCTGCAGCCGTGTTGGCGGCATTGCCATTGGTAATGCTTGGCTGGCCGTTGCCTCCACGACCGTTGCCGCCACCGCCATTGTTGTTGCGATTGTTGCTCCTGTTGCGGTAGTTGCCGCCGCCCATGCGGTTGTAGTTGTTGCGATTGTAGCCTTGCGCTCCGCCATAGCCGGAGTTCATGCCGCCATTGCCCGCTCCCATGTTGCCATTGTTGTAGTAATGGTTGCGTCCGCGATAGCTGCCACGTCGGGTGGAGGACACTCCAAAGGTCTCCGTGTTCAATTTGCGCTCCTGGCGCCAATCGTTCTTCTTGTTCTTGCTGCGATCCTGGGCAGCCTCGCACGAGATGTTGTCAAAGAACGATTTGGTCTTGTCATAGCACAATTGGACATCATCCTCCTCGGGCTCATGCTCACCAGCGCCAGTCTCATTACCAGAGTCATCCTTCTTGTCGGTTTCGCCATTCAACTGAAAACAATGCAATCCAATTTGTAGGATTAACTTAAAAGACGACTACAAATATATTATGACTGGAAAAGGAATACATTTATCAAGGAAATGAATTACTTTCTTGCGCATAAGGCAAAAGCCTTAAACTTAATTTTAAGCTATTATCATATTATACGAGACTAGAAAGTAGCACGATTTTGATGATCCGATTAAGTGAATCATGCTCCAAAACATATGCATCGTTAATTTCAACTCCTATGTTTTCCGGTCATTAAATAAATCTTAATTCAAGTTATATATAATTACAACTATATTAATGAGTATAACTAAAAACAATCAGTATTTTGAAAGGATAAAAATGTGTGTTTGCTTTACTTACTGTAGGGACGCCCTCAAGCTTTTCTTCACCCACCTGCTCATTGGTTGCAGTAGTTGTGGTTGTTGCCGTCGAGGTCGTAGTGGCTGTCTTGTTAGTTGTGGCATCATCGGCCACCTTGAGCTTTGCCAGCTGGGAGCGTAATTCCTCGAACTTATTATTGGCCTGCTCGAAATCAAAGTCGCCCTCAAACTTAATCTTGTTGCGCGGCTTGTTTTGATTGGCCGACTGCGGACGATAGTTCTGAAACATAATATCATTTTGCTGAGTAAAGAATGAGCTGGTCCTGATTCTTTAGCGTGAAATATTTACCTGATTGGGACGCATTGGACCCCGGGATCCCATTCCACGATTGCGCATCATCATGTTGTTCGTATTTTGGCCATTGCCGCCGCGGTGCATGTTCCAGGCTCCGTTGCCACCATTTCCTCCTCCACCGCCGTTTCCTCCTCGCTGTTGCTGCTGCTGCTGTTGCATTCCATTACCGCCTCCACGATTGCGTTGATTGTTGTTATAGTTGTTGCTGTAGTTATTATCCATTTGACGGCCGGAATCGCGACGATCTCGCTGCTGATGGTGCTGGTTGTAGAAGTCGTTGCCACTGCCTCCGCCTCGCTGCTGCTGCTGCATGTTGTTGCTATTGGACCCGCCGCGCTGCTGCTGCGCCTGCTGATGATGCTGCTGGTGGTTCTGGCGCTTATGACCTGCATCGCGCCCGTTTCCACCACCCTGAGCAGCGTTTTGTTGCTGATGCAGCTGCTGCTGCTGGGTCAGCTCGGCCGTTGGACTGACAATCAGGCTGATGGGCGTCGTGGAGCGTGAGGCTCCGGCCAGCATGTCTAGAACGGAAACTATATACATATAGAGGACGCAACGAGAAGAGAAAATAATGGGTGCAATGACAGGTAAGTTAAAAAGTGGAATACATTTTTAATAAAATTTAAATTTGAACATAAACATTTTGGAAAACTATCAACTATCAATTAAACTCGGACTATATTTATATTTGGAGTTGGAATCAGCATTAGGTTTAAAAAATAAAGATGGATAGAATTGATGATCATGCAAAAGAACCAATGTAAATAATATATAGAAATAATACTCACTTGGCTGCTTCTGTTGGGGCTTCTGCTGCTGCTGGTTGCCGCCGATGTGCATGAAGGGTCCACTACCCGGTGCGCCCGAGCCCGGTGCGAGCGAACCGCCACTCGAGTTGCCAACCATGTTAGCCAAATTGGGGCCACCCAGATTTCCAAACGGATTACCATTGCCATATCCAGGGCCACCAGGAGCTCCGGAGCCTCCATTACCACCACCGACGCCCGGCATAGACGGAGCGCCGTGCGGCGGCTGTTGCTGGGGCACTTGCTGTTGTTGCTGCTGCTGCTGGGGAGGAGCGTTCATCCCGCTGGGCATTGGAAAGTGTTGCGGCATAACCTGGGGCGGGCCATTCTGGAGCTGCGCCTGCATAATCGCCGGGTCATTGTGGTGTGGCAACGTATGGTTGTTAACGACGCGAATGTCCTTGATGTCCGAGCCGCGGAAGAGGATGTAGTCGTAGATTTGCGACTGCGGCGCTATCTGGAACTGGGTCTCCCGATCTTCCGTACCAAAGGAGCGTACTAAATGGGCGGGAGAACTTGATAAGTTTCGTGCAAAAGTCCATTTTGCATATATACATATTCAATTTAAGGTTAGGCCGCCGCGTTTCCTATTTAACCTCAACGCGGGCGGGAATGGAGGAGAGGCGAGAAGAGAAACGCATGTTTTGCCGGTATTTGTGTGTTCTCCTTTGGATCCATCCCCACAGGGCACTGACACCCGTAACGGTAGCCGCACGTCCCGTTATCTGGCGCCAAATCGAAATTGTTTTTGCAAGTAGACTTTCCGTTCCAAACAACTTGCAATTTCGGGTGTATGTATGTGTGCCATGTAAAATGCAAAAGCAACACTGTACAACAACAACAATAGCGAGCGAGACAAAAACAGGGCCAAAGCCAACATGACAAACAAAAAGCATAAGTGAGAGCGCGAGAGACAGGAGGGATAAAAAGAGAGACAGCGGGCGGCAACTGCACTCTCAAATTACTGTAAAACTAACAAGAGGAACGAAAAAAAAATGTGGACAAGAGAACCAACGCAAGAGAAATTGGAAGATTTCGTTTTCTTCCATTTTCTTTTTCGATGAACCGTTTTTTACAGCGACTTTTGGCGCAGATTACGGCACCTATATATCCCATATATAGAGTTGAGGGGGCGGAAAAGCAATTACGTGGGAGAAATTGGGGGACTTACCACTCGACAGCGCGATGGTGCACTCCTGCGGATCCACGGTGTACAGGCGGCCCTCATACCTGATGTCCGCCTTGGAAATAAGGCTGATTTTCGAGCCCAACTCCGGCAATCCCCCGCTCATCTTGGTCAAGCTTCACTGTACCTCACTCACTCCGAAATGCAAACTATTATTATTAGGTTTGCCAACGGCGCGCGGCGTAGCAATTGTTCACAAATTTCTGGCAAAAGCAAACAATTGTAGCGAGCGCGACGACAACGATTTCTCGATGGTTTCAGCCTCTCTGCTACTTCTCTTCTCTGCTGTTCGCTTTTCTTTTCGGTTTTTTTCTCGGTTCTCTCGCACAATTACTTTCCAGTTTCAGGGCGATTTTGCGGCCAATCGCCTTTTGGCCGAGCTAGCTATATACTACTGCGTCTTTGCACAAGTGTACCAAACTCTTTTCCAATGTCTCTGGTGGAGCACACACGGCCTTAAATGTGAAAATTGCAATTTTCGACACACAAATCTTTTCTCCGTCCGTCTGCAAAAACCTACCCGTCGAAAATGAACGATTTTTAGCGAGTGCCGCGATGGTATCGATGGTTCTGCAGGCTCTAATCAGAGCTGTTTTGTTGTGCATTTTGTAGCTAGTTCTTGCTAGTTTCCCAGTAATGGTAGTAGCAATTTCATATTTTTTGTTATTATTTTTTAAAGAATTCGTTTATATTTGTTTTTCCTTAAGTGCACTGATTGTGAATTAGTGTCTAATTGTTAATTCGATTTTCGAAAAACATATATTGAAGATAAGATGTATCTATCTTTCGAAAATTGTACAGCTTCTCAACCAAAACGTTTCCCTTAAAAAGTATGTCTTTTGATCGCATCTTCTTCCCAAAATGAGCCGAATATGTTTTTTTTTTATTTAATTATTCATAAATAATAAATAGTAATGAGAATATGAAATGAAATCGCTGACTATTACTAACAAGATTCTAAATGCGGCCAGTCCATAAGTTTTGCAATTCTTCCATGAAATTAATAATAATTATATTTATTTGTTATATTTCTGTTAATTTTAGCAAATCCTCTTTGTTAAATATTCGTATTCGCCTATTTGTTTACTTATTTATAATTACTGACAAACTATATTTGCAAAATCATCGTGTCACTATTATTACTATCGACGTTCTTAAATATATATCTTGTGAATCCATGTTTTATTTTTCGATTAAAGAAAAATTATGTATAAATAACTAAGTCAATCCTACGTATTTATATTCGGACGGATTTTCTGTGGTCATTTTTATTAAGTTAACAATTCATGATTCATTTTTTTTTTTAATATTTTTTAATGTATTTATATTAATATATATATATATATATATATATCTATATTTTATAAAAAAAATAAAATAAAAAATGTATAAATTCAATTATTAAAGTACCATAGACCGATACCTGTAAACCGCCCACCGCTAGTTATTTTTTTGCGATACTAAAAAGTCAATCGGTATTAGTGAGCAGGTATCGATGTTTTGCCATCTCTAGCTTCACTCGGCGCTTCTTTTTTCTCCTATTCAAAGCAAATCACCAACTGAAAATGCGCTGGCATTTTATGGCTTTTTCGCTCAATTAATTGTTTTAAAGTGTATAAAATATAGCAGTAACAATATGCCACCTCAACTGGATCCGATAAGCGTGCGCACGGCACGGCTGAACAACCTGATTCTGGGCAAAGGGGTTGGCGTCTGTGCAAAACCCGCGGGAAATGCCAGCGGATCGGCTGCCTCCGTTTCATCCGTCAGGAGAAGCGTCGTCCCTGTAAGCACCACCAGTGCCGCTGTGGCAGAAGCCATCTGCCGGGAGGGCCTTTTGGATGCCTTCTGTCTTCTATACAATGAATGCGACAAGGACGCGCTGAAGAAACGCGATCGAAACATCGCCGAGTTTGTCAACAAATGTGAGTCACTTCATAATTTTTTGGTCTTTCAAAAATGGGGTTTAATATTTTAACTGGAGGTTATCATACTACGCATCAATCCTAACCATTTATGATGATTTCTTGGCATCTACAGTTCGTCCCATCGTGGAGGAGACCCGCAAACTCCGAGTAAATGCAGATGACTTCCTCATCAAGGGGCTTATTGGTCAGGGCTACTTTGGAAACGTTCATCTGGTAGTTGAGCGGCAAACCAATGATATTTACGCCATGAAAAAGATCAAAAAGTCGGTGGTGACCACGTCTCAGGTCAAGGAGGAGCGGGACATCATGTCCATTCGCCATTCCGAGTGGCTGATTAATCTGCAGTATGCTTTCCAGGTAAGTTTTGCCTTAACTTATCTTTTAGTGTCGTTAATTATCAAAGGATTTACTATTAGGACAACGATAACCTGTATTTGGTGATGGAGTATATGCCTGGTGGGGATCTGCTCAGTTTGATGTCTCGACATGGCCCTTTCGACGAGGACTTGGCTCGGTTTTACCTGGCCGAACTTACTGTTGCGCTGCACACGCTCCACGAGATGGGTTATGTGCATCGGGATATTAAGCCGGAGAATATACTGATTGATCGATTTGGGCACATCAAATTGGCCGATTTCGGCAATGCTGCTGCCCTAGATCGAGATGGAAATGTGCTAAGCCTCTCGCCCGTGGGAACACCCGATTATATTGCTCCCGAGCTGCTGCAGACCATCTCGACCTACAAACTGTCCAAGTCGATGCACGATGTGAGTAGAACTGTACGATCGCAGAGTGAGATAATGCCAAGGTGCTTCCAACTCCATAACTAAAGCCATATACGATCCGTTCATAGGTCAGCTGTGATTACTGGTCCATGGGCATCATTGGTTACGAGCTAATCTGTGAGACTACACCTTTCCACGAGGATAACGTCCACGAGACGTACTCTAAAATCCTCTCCCATTGCGAGGAGAGTCACCTGAAGGAGCTGATCAACTTTCCCAGCGACTTGAAGGTGTCGCATAACTACAGAAATCTTATTGAGTCCTTGATCACGAATCCCTCGAAGCGTCTGTCCTACGAGCGCATCAAGAAGCATCCCTTTTTCGATGACATACAGTGGGGCTCCATACGGTCTCAGGTACCGCCGATTATTCCAACTATTAAGTCGGACGACGACACTTCCAACTTTGAAGATGGTACGCGGCACAAGTCACGTCGGGACCAAGGAGTAGCCAAAAGATCGCTGTCAACCAACATGAAATCCAATGACTTTAGTGGCAAGGATTTGCCATTCATCGGCTACAGCTTTGTACACATGGAAAAGACCGCCCTGACAGTTGCCAATGATGAAAAGTTGCAGGAGAAGCTAAAGGAGCTTTTGCAGAAACTAAAGACCAGGGAGAATGAGATTTCTATGCTAAAGCAGGATCTAATGAGAGCTCAACAATCCCTCAAAAAGACAGACAATAAATCACAGGTCGTGAACGATGCTAAAATGGAAATCAAGAAGTTGCAGCATATTATTAAGGAAAAGACCATGGAGTTGGCCAACTGCAAGACGCAGATCAAGACGCTTCAGAGCTCCGCGAAAATAGATGAGGAAATGTGGTCGAAAAAGGAAGCTACCATCACAGATCTTTTACGACTAAATCGACAGAAGTATGAAGAAGCCAAAATTGCATCGGAACAGCGATACGAAAAGCAATTGGCCGACAAAAAACAAGAGCTAGCCGCCACGCTGCAGAAGATGGATGCCCGGGAGCTGGAGTTCATTGCCAAGAACGATGAGTGCCGGCATATTACCCTCAAGTTGGAGAACTACAAGGATATGGTACAGCAGCTCAAGGATCAGCATCTTAAGTCCGAGGCCAACAATGAGGAACAGAGGCGCCAAATGGCCGAATCGTATGAGAAAAAGCTTTCAGATCTGCGCAAAAAGGTACGCGACTCGCAGGACACACATCGGCGCCTCACCATGGAGATGAAGGAGATCCGAACCGAAAGGGACGAGTCAATCAGCTCAAGCAAGTCAACCCAAGAAGCAAAGGATGCCACAGAGCGAAATATCGAACAGATACTGCGTCGTCTTAACCAAGAAATTGCCTCCAATAATGAGTTGAATTCAGAGAAGGTTAAGCTGGAGACGAAGCTGAAGTTAAAGGAAAACGATATGCAAGAGGTGAAAGCAGAGTGCCAGCGACTTGAGCGGGAACTTCAGGTTTGTTTTTACCCTTTAACGTTCTTATTTTTGATGTCTTGAGCAAGTATGCCATGTTTTTGTCTAGTTTATCGATATTAAATCGGTGTTAAACTATTTATATTTACTTAAAAGTCAATCAAATCACTTAATGTCATCTATTAAATTTAAATAGAGTTTTAGTCAATTTACTCACTCAAACTTATGTAGAAATACAGATAATTGAATTGTTTTTCAACCTATCAAATCCATTTAATCCAATTTTTAAATTCCCTTTCTTAACCTCCTATAAAACATAGCTCGTCGAGTGTCGCTGCCAACTAGCTGAGTCCTCGCTAGCTTCCCATGCCTCCCCATACGAAACGGCACCTGGCTCTCTGACCGATCTAAACGTCGTCGAAGACCAGCTTCGTGCCGACTTGGAGGCAGCCAAGGAGAGCGAGATTCACCAGAAGGGACGTGCTGATCAACTGCAAGCGCTGGTCACCAAGCTAGAGCAGATGCTGGAACGTTTTAACGAGCAGAGTCTCTCGCCTACCAAGTCACACTCGGCGCGTAAACCCGGAACTGAGACAGTTGGCGATATGCTTGAACGTCAGAACGAGAAGCTGGAGGATAAGTTAGCCGCTGTGCGGGAGCAGATGATTGTGGAGCGTCAGGCGGCGCGCACGGCTAATCTGTCGCTCTGGAAGGTGGAGAAGCAGCTGGAAGAAGCGCTCTCGGAGAAGAAGCTGCTAGCCCGTCGCATGGAACTAACAGAAGATCGAATTAAGAAGGCTCAAAATGCTAATGAGGAATCCCAGCGGTTACTCAAGTCGTCGCAAGAGGAAACGCGCCAGCGTGAGGCTCGGATCGAGGAGCTAAAGCAGGAGCTGGCCGCCGCCAAGAGGGATGTGCTGAAGGAGCATCGCCAGTGGGAGAAGGCCGAACAAGAGCGCATGAAGTGCAAGTCAGAGATAATCGAGCATTTGGCCAATGTGCACAAACTTCAGCAGCAGGAGAGTGATGTGCGTCAGAAACTGAAGCAAGTCCAATCCCGTTTCGATAGCCTCACATTGGAGCACAAGAACACCCTAAGGGAGCTGCAAGAGGAGCGTGACAGGTGTCAGGTAGCCTCCGATTCCAGCCTTTCGTTGAAAAAGGAGCTCAAACAGCTTACGGAGAACTTCCAGAGGCTGAAGTACGCTTGCAGTATCACCGATAACCAATTAACAGAGGTGGAAACGATGCTGAAATCCGAACAGGATAGGAACAAGTCCCAAAAGTCCCAACTGGATGCCGTTTATGGAAAGTTGAGGGAGCGGAACGATCAACTTACTGAACTCCGAAAGCAAATGGTTGCCCTCGAATCCGAGAAGCGTCTGGCCGAACAACGGGCACAAGTCTTGGCATCAGAGCTCGAGGAAACCAGACTCAACCTCAAGGATCAACAAAAGAAGTTAGTATCGCAGCAGGATCAGTTGGTGGAGCAGACAAACGCTCTGTTCGCTACCCAAGAACGTGCAGATCTTCTGGATGGTGAGAATGCCAATTACCAAGTCCAGACCGCTGACTCTGTTCGGGAAATGCTTAACCTGAAGGAGGAGAATGCTCGCATTCTGAGCGAACTCTTCCACAAGAAGGAGGAGGTGAGCAACCTTCAGTCAGCAGTAAGGGATCTCGAAACCGCCCAGGCAGACCTACACGCTGAGATTGATTCCCTGCAGGACACTCTGGCCGAAAAGGAGCAGTTCTATGTGCAGAGGGACATAAAATCCAATGCCACATTGGCCCAGCACAAAAAGCTGATCGATTACTTACAGGTAATACAATTGAAAAATACTTAAGTTTATATATCTAAATTTTACATTGTTTTTATTCTGTCAGCTCAAGGTAGAGGATCTATCGGCAAAGAAGAAGAAAACCCTGGCCGACAAGCTCTTTGGTTCCAGCCACACCAATAAGGAGAACGTCACGCCCAACGATGTGGAGTCTTCTATTCTCTATCGAGCACTAAAGGAGGAACTGAAGCGCGAAAAAAAATTATCAAGCATGTTAAAGGAGCAAATAGCGCAGTTGAATGGTGAGTGCCAGCCAAAAATCAAGGCAAAGAGCACTATTTTATATCTATATTTCAGGCACAGCAACCCTGCGCTCACCGCGAAAGACCGCGTCTGTTAATGGTGACTCAGATGCCCCAAAGCAGCGGCCAGTAAGCATTGCTGTCCTGCCGCGTTCCCCTCAAAAGGAGGTGGAGTCCCTAAAACGTACTGCAAGCCATGTGGAACTAAAGACTACCGAAAAGTCAGGCAGTGTGGAGCAGGCGCATCACCGTTTCGAACTGGCTCTACAGGAGTCCAAGGAAGGAGCCTCAGACTGTGTGGTCTGTGGCCAAGCCATCCTTTCGGGATCACCCTACTGGAAATGCAAGGAGTGTAAGGATGTGACACACCGCAAGTGCAGGGCCAATGTTCAGGGAAATTGTGGAACTAAGCAGCCAACGGCTCCGCCAGCCGATGAGGATCTGAACAGTATCCCGTCTGGATCTTGCATTACCCTTGACAGCGTGGAGAACAGCGAATATATCGGAACTTTGGTCTATAGCTGTGACGGTCCGGAGGATGGTGATCAGGCAGCCAGAAAGGATATCGAGGTAAACTGCGCGTTTGAGGTGGCCGAGCAGCAGATTCTTCTTTTGGGCTGCAATACGGGCTTGTATGCATATCACTTGGACTCGCAGCGACTGGTCCACATCAAGGGTATCGAGTCTGTGAGCTGCATGTCCATCTGCTTGCGCCTGGCCAAGGCTATTATGGTGGAAACGGTCGGTGAGAAGCTGTATCAATGCGACTTTAGGCAGTTGGAGTCCCGTTGCCACAGTTCCAGTGCATGTCACAAGCCCGTTCTGGAGACCTCCGCCATTGAGTTGCCCTTTGCGAATCGCACAGCCTCGGAGAAGTGGAAGCTGGTGCTGATTTCGGACGAGGCGGAGAACGCCTTGGATTCAGTGGCCATTGCTGCGACTTCCACCAGGATTGTCATCTTGAAATACGACCTCAAGGTACATATGTTTAAGCCCGTTAGAGCCTTGGACACTGCCACTCCCGTCACTTCAATATTCTTTACGCGTCACTCGGCCATTGTCACCTCGGATAAATTCTACGAGATCGATTTGGACAATTATGGGGCCGAAGAGTTTGTAGATCTGGCCGAAAAGTCAATGCAAAATACTGCGAAATGGCAGCCGCTGACTGCCGTACGGATTTCTCGACAGGAATATCTGCTTTGCTTTGCGGAGAGTGGCGTCTTTGTGGATGAGTTTGGCTGCCGATCCAGGCCGTACGATTTAAATTGGATGTATGCTCCCACTGGCTTTGTCTACCGCGAGCCCTTCTTATTCGTTTCCCACTACCAGAGTGTTCAGATTATCCGTTTGCATCGATCCTTTAGCAAGGAGTTGGCCAACGGAGGAGATAATAGCTCGGAGGCATCTGAGTCGCCAGATTTGCAGCGCGTCTACTTGCCCCACTATATGTCCACTCTGCTGGCGAACAGTGGCGATGTAAATTTGTATACACTTTCGATTGACAAGAGGCCCTGCAATGGCACACAGAAGATCTATCACTTGGACACGGTCCAGGCATTCAAGAAGAAGCTGAATGTTTCCCTGGAAACCATATCATCGATAGCCACAACGGTGACTACAGGCTCCACGATGACAGGTGATAGTGTATAGATATAAATATAGGCGGGAAATTCAAGAATTTGAAAAGTAAGATTTAGTCTCTCAAAAGTAATTATATTTAAAATACTTTATATATATACTAATTATTCTTAACTTTTAAAGAAAATCTCAGAAATTGACCACTTTGAAACCATTTTAATTTAAATGAATTACAAAATCGAACTTCTCGTAATCAAGTTTTCACTAATTTGATACCATTTGATTTAATTTTATTTAAAAGACATACATTTAATTCTTTTTTATAACCTTTGTGCTGTAAAAAACACAAATAAAATTATGCTCGGCTTTTGAATGGAGTGAATTTCGTTTTAAATTGAAGATTAAGTGAATTTGTGGGTTTATTGAATGGAATTTTGAAAGAATACAAGAAGTGTTCCTTAGATTTTTTACAGAATGATTACTGTAATGATTTCTTAAAGGGCTGGGCTTTATTTTATTTATTAAATTAAAAATTCAAATATCAATCATAACTAAGCCAAAAATGTATTAATTTCAATTCGGATAGCTTTTTTCTGCTACTTCCTTTAGTACATGTTTATAGGGTCGACAATGACTCCTTCACAGCGTTTTAAGCTTATCACTAAATTTAAAATACCCTGCAAAAGTATAAATCTGGAATGCACAACAAACTTCACCTGAAAGGTATGTATAAATAATTACTTAACAGGTTAAAATGTCTTAATATTTTGATATTTATTACAGCTAAATTCCCATTACGAATTATAAAGGCCTCTAGCAGGAGCGATAGCTTTTCGAAATTTAATTTAATGGTATCTCTGGGCGCCAAGCTTTTTGGGGGTGATCCCAGGGTAGCTTTTCGGCAGCAGCAGCAACGGTAGCTTTTAATGTCCCGCAATGCGAAAGCCCCCAGAGAGATGGCTCGTGTGGTGTCTGTTTGTCCGCTCTCCACTACCGCGACAAAAGCGGGTCGGTGGACGCGGAACTGCAGCAGCACCGTCGCAACCGTAAATTGTGATAATTGATTTCAATTTGTTTCATGAAGGCGGTGGCACCCTTGTCCAGCGAGATGTTTCAAACGAATCTGAACCTTTGCGCGCGCAGTATGGTCGCAGACTCCACGACTTCGGAACAGAATGCGTCCAGGACAACGCTGATATGCCGGGCATGTCTAGTGCTTCTGGGTCCCCAGGATACCGCCTACAACCTGGACAGCGAACAGGACTTGGCGAGGAAATATTTTGGCTGTACTGGCGGCGATCCGGGAAAGGATGAGGACGACTTGCTGGCCCAACTGGTGGTCCTGAAGAGCATCTGCGAGTGCTGCTATCAGTTGGTGCAAAAGTTTTACGCATTTCAACGCATGTGCGAAGAGTCCTCGCGCAACTTTGAGAAGCTGCTCCTGGACATTGACTTGTACTGCCTCAAGGCGCAGGAGGATGCAGCCGCTGCTGCCATGCCGCCGGATTTACCGGATACCCCTTCGGAAAGTGAGAAGTCCACTAATCAAGAGGAGAAAGCCGAGGCCCCAAGCATGGAATCAATTGAGGAGATTGTGAGTGTGTGCGCCCATGTGTCTCCACTTTAATCTAATCACAATATCGGTGCTCGAATTTGTTGCCTAGCAGCAGCAGGGTAAAAAAGACAATACTTCCTCCTACGCGGCGGGGCGGCCATAAACATAAACATTTCTGAGTATTTGTTTGTATACAACTATTTTTGTTTGCGGCGATAGCGTGTCGAGGAAAAGAAGGCACGTCTCGAATAAGACTTATTTATTTAGTTTCTTTATTTAAAAGCATATACAATATTTTTACCGCGCTGTAGATGTATGTATATATTTACATTTCGATCTTAAATTAAAAGTGTATTTTTAATCAATTTCAAAAGATATCCAGTAATATATAGACAGGTGGAGTATATATCAAGAAAATTTTGTAACATAACCATATAAATTCATGATAACTGAGTATTTTTTAGGAAAATAAAAATCATACTCAGTTCAAAAGTGCTTAGATATACATATAATGCTAACTATTATTTCTCATTTCTGAGGATCTTAAGATATATTATAAATTTTGAGAACTCTGCGAAGTCCTAAGATATTAAAATTGTAATAATTGTTATAATCATTATTATCTTATTCCAAACCTCAGTACTTCTTACAGCTGTCTGCACTTATAAGGTTGGGAACCACAAGTGTGGCTTTATCTAAATAAGATAATTATATACCTATATTGGCGCAGATCACTAACCCTGAACTATTAAGAGTTTTTACTTCGACTATTCCTTATCTTGCATAAGCAAGAAGAGAACAGGGAAATAGTAACTGATACCACAAGAGTAGAAGTATATATAATTAAATAAACAGGTTTACGAGGATCCTAAATTTATTTTTAAACGCAGAGTTGAGGTGTTTAATTTAAAATATATTTAGCTATTTACATATATGAATTTTTTCTACTTTCAAACTAATTAAATATAAAATAATTATACGACGTCTTCCAAAAAATGAGGTCAAAAGTATGTTACAAAAATTGGTTTTTTAAATAATAATAAGATTATTTTTATAAACCATTTAAATATGTAAGAAAATGATTAAATATCTCAAAAGATGTCTTTATAAGTATGCAAGTTTTTTAGGGATGTTTAAAATTTTCTTTATAACTAACATCCTCCCAACTTTTAATCACATTTTTTAAACCATTATAAAAGCATAGTCGCTCCACATCCTTAGGCTCTACAGTATTTAAACCTAGTTCCAAAATGTTCTTCAAATTTCTTTAATTATCACAACAACATTTCCTTAAATTAACAGGAGAAAGTGTACATAATCGAGGATGAAGGTAGCAAGCAGGATATCAGCAAGGAAAAGGTGTCTCGCCCTTTGGCCCAATACAATAGGACGATAGGCCAGCGAAAGCGGCGTGTGAGACACACCCTTGACTGTAGCATCTGTCAACGCGGCTTCTACAAATCGTCCCTGCTGGAGGCCCATGTGAAGAAACAGCACGAGGGTGTGGAATCCTATACCTGCGTCCATTGCGGCAAGAGCTATGCGAGGGCCAATTTACTAGAAACACACCTGCGGGAAATACATTTTAATGGCGGTGAGCGGGTTACCTATCCTTGTCCCAGCTGCAGCAAAGTGTACACAGCGGCGCGGAGTCTCAAATATCATGTAAAGCGGCAGCATGAGACAGAGTCCTTCTCAACTGACGATTGTCGGTATATTTGCGAAGAGTGCGGAAAGTTCTTTGGGCGAAAGGCTCACCTAACCCGCCACAAGGCGACACATGGCAAGCGGAAATATTCCTGCGAGCACTGTGACCGAAGGTTCCACACCAAGGATAATATGATGGATCACTTGAAGCGTAGACATGGGAATAAAGATGTAATTCGCTGCAGGAAGTGCGGGCGCATCTTCCGGGAGAGATCAGACCGCAGCAAACACTCGTGTAGAGCCAAGGACTAGACCAAATGTAGTTTAATAATTTCTTTTATTTATGTAAGTGATTTTTCAATAACATCAGCTAACTCAACTGTTACAAATGATTCGAATTACTTGGAATTTGTTGGGGAAAACTGCCGAACGAATGAATGGATGGATGGCGACACTAGTACATGACTGAGTGGTTAATTGATTGATTGATTGATTGGTGATTCGGTGAGGCTACACACTCTCTAAAATTAGCTAACATTCACATAATGGCCGGGGCGCAGCACAGTCGCTTCTAAATCATCATCATCATCAGTACGAAAGGCAAGGCTTGCACCGCCCTTCAGCTTCAAAATCATGTATAAAAAACAATTAACTAAAAGTTATATATGCTTAAGCTTAGAGAACACGACAGTTTTTAAAATTACATATTACCAATACATTCATAGATCATATATATATATCATTAATTTGTTGCTGGGGGAAAAATTAGAATAAAACCAGAATATCCGACAATTACATAGGAATATGCACGGTCGCCAAAATCAGCATAAGCGATGCATGTTGAGAATGGATAATGAGTTGTGGGAGAGTGGAAGGAGTTGCGGATCTGTTCGGTTCGGATGAGTGAAGTTTGCTTGCACTATATGTAAATAAATACGCCGCAATATGAGCATAGGATCGCGCTTAGTGGGCCACCGTACACCTAGGTGTCCTTGTGTTTCTCATAGAACCCATCTAAATATTTTTTGTACTCCTTTTGATCGTTCCACATCATCGCGGCCTGCGCATTCAGTGGACTCTCGTTGTTCGGCTCGCCCAGCAGCGATTGGATGGACAGCAAAATGGTGCGCACATCGTACAGCGCCGACCACTTGTCCTTCAGTATGTCCAGACAGATGGCGCCCTGCAGATCGACGTTCGGGTGAAAGCAGGATGTCAGGAACTTGACCACGGGTGCCGCGTACGGATACGAGTTGGGAAAGTCCAGCGATAACCGGTACGTCTGCCCAGCGTATACGGTATTCAATGGGCCAGCGATGGTGCCGACCCACTTGAATATGTTCTCGCCGTCGGGGAAGGCTGAGATGCCCTTCTCATTGGCCATCATCAGATTCATCAGTTCCTTGTGCAGTCTGCGGCAGTTATAACGGGGATTAGCTGTGTGTGCCTGGCGTTCGATTCCCGCTTCGGGCGCCCCACGCTTACCTTTTACTCACGGCGTGGTTGTCTTTTACGGGCAGCGAGTCGTCGCTGTGTTTGGTGCCCCCGGCCCCAGCTCCGCCGCTCTGTTCGGGGCTTATGTTCTGGGCCATTTCTGCTTTACGGGACTCGAATGTTGGATAGTGGATGCGGGCGATGCGACGCGACGCTCTGCAATTTACTGGGTGTGTGCTTGTGTGTGCGAATTTTGCCTAGTGCCGTGCCTCAGGGCGGACGCAATGCGATTTTCTTCACTGACTATATTTGTATAGAGAAATTTGGTTGAATAATTTCGTTTCGGAATACGCGTCTGTTGCTTTTACAGCTATTTTTTTTTCACTTTTGTGTGAAAACAAAATGGAAGGGAACGAGAGACATTTATCGAATGATTTTCTCCCGATGGCCAACTGTGCGACTTGAATTTTTAAGACTCGATTGTCTGATATCGAATATAGTTGGCGTGCCTGAATGAGCGCCAAATAAGGAAAGGAACTATAGGACAAATTTAACCCTGTTATGGTAATAATAATTAAATATTGGACGAATAAATACAAAAATCAGTCAATTTAATTTATCCAGTGGTTATCGAATAGCTGTTTAACTACACTGTTTAGGTACAAACTACGTTAGTAGTACCCACCAACATTTTCCAACACTACCAAAATACGATTTTTAATCTGGTGATTTCCAGGACGAAATGGACGAAAACAACCTAATTTATGGGCTAGAACTACAGGCCCGTGCCTTGACTCCCCAGTACGGTGAAAGCAACGACGTTTGCTTCTTTATAGCCACCAATTCCCTGAAGCCAACGAATCAGGTGCACCTAATTCAGTACGAGGAGGAACAGGGAACAACCGTGCAATCGAAGGTAAAAAGCGGGGAATTACGTGGAAAATTTGCAAAAATTCGCATGTTCTAGGTATTTGAGCACGCCTTGGGGGAAGTGTGGAAGCTAAACAGTTGCCCCCACAACTCCCGCCTGCTGGCATCTGTCTACAATGTTCAGAAAGGAGCCCAGGTTCTTGCCCAATCTGCTCTGCTAACTTTGCCGGAGGACCTAAACGCCGCTTCGGATGCGGAGCAAATGAAGTCAGAGTACATACCCTGGGCGCAAGTGGAGCTGCTGAACACCGAGAGCCTTGGCGAACGGGTGAAGACCATAGAATTCCATCCTAGTCAGGAGCAAACCTTGGCCTGCGTCGTGGACAACAAGGTGGCGGTGATGCAGCGCGCAGAGTCTGAAACCCGCGTGGTTGCCGAAGTGCCAACCTCAGGATCGGCGAGTGCTAAGCACACGTCGCACTTCACCACCGGCAAATGGTCGCATCACCACCAGGGGCACCAGTTCCTCACACTACACGACGGCAACTTAAGTGCCTACGATGTAAGAGACACGCAGCACTGTGCCTGGAACATCAGCGACGCCCACGGCCAGATGGTGCGCGACCTGGACTGCAATCCCAATAAGCAGTGCCACCTAGTCACTGGCGGCGATGATGGCTATCTGCGGATCTGGGACTGCCGAATGCCCAAAGCGCCAGTATTTGAGCGCAGCGATCACTCCCACTGGGTTTGGTCCGTGCGCTTCAACACATTCCACGACCAGCTGCTCCTCTCCAGCTCCAGTGACTGTAAAGTGCTGCTCACCTGCGCCGGTTCCGTCAGCTCCGAGACCCAAGTCCAGGCCGGGCTGGATGACACAAATTTCGGCAGTAGCGGCGGTGGTGCAGAAACTGAAGACCAGCGCCACAAACTGTTGCCGGACGGACTCCTGCAGACCTTTGACCAGCACGAGGACTCTGTATACTGCGCGGAGTGGAGCAACGTGGATCCCTGGATCTTTGCTTCGCTCAGCTACGACGGCCGCGTCATAATCTCCAAGGTACCCAAGCAGTACAAGTACCAGATTATATTTTAAGCAATTAAACGTAAAACTAATTAAATAGAATAATATGCAAGTGTTTAGCCTGTATCCTCGGATGTGCAGTCGGAGGAGTCGTTGGGATTGGCCGTCTCAACGGAGCACACTCGCTTGATCAGCTCGTTTTCTATCTCCACAGTGCCATTGTCCACGGCCTCCTCCATTTGCACGTACTCAATGGTGGCCGGCGTTGTCTTCTTGGCCACCGCCGTCGCTGCTGGAGCAGCAGGAGGCGCTACTGCTGTCGTTGCTGCTCTTTTGGCCTGGGCTTCCGTATCATCTTCGGCTTCCTCAGCCAAACTGCTGCGCTGCGGCTGCACCTCGGCGTAGATGGCGGGGAACTGCTGCTGTAGCTTCTGCTTGATGACCCGTATCTTTCGGAATATGTAGTCGAGATCTTTTTTCATATCGTTGAGGCATTTGACATGTCGCTTGAAGTCCTCGCTGGCACTTTTCAGGCGACTCTGGGACAGGGCATTGCAGTTTAGCAGCATCTCGTTGGTTTTCTCGAAGCGCTGCAACCTGGGTAACAAATTAAGCATAATTGAATCTGGGTAGCTTCTTGCCTAGCTTACATTTGCTTTTGTGCTCTTATCATGGTCTCCACATCGCCCTGATTCACCATTCCAGCCAGGCTTTGAATAAAGGCTTCTGCTGCTGAATTTCCAAAGCCCGTAAAGGATTCCATATCCGGCGTGGCGTCCTGGGATTGATGCACATCCGCAATGTGACCCATATGACTCATTATTAGCCTGGTTAAATTTGATTTCAATTGGGTTTACATTGTTTACAGATTTTAATTTGTTTACTTACTTTCTTTGGTGGCTTTTACTTTGTGGAAAGTGTATTTATTAACTTTTACAGATCTCTTGTGCTTAATATTATTTATGTTTCTAACTAGTAATACCGTGTATTTGTATTACCAAAACATTATTCTTCAGAAAGAAATTTTTGTTTGTATATTTTAAGCTTAGAAAATGTATTTTTGCAACAGCTGTTCTAGGTACAAGTTTTAAAGTAGTGTTAGAGAACGCAAAATTATAAGAGTGGTATAATGGCCAACCAAAATATCACGATATAATTATAACATTTTGAGGAAAAATATCGATATATTGTTATTTTGATTTTCAACAACACTAGTTAAGTTAATCAAGTTTATTTTTGCATTAAAGAAACATGAAGCTTGCTCCGACTGTCAAGTTAAACAATGGCTATGAAATGCCAATTCTGGGCCTCGGGACATACAATGTAAGTGCCATAATCTAGATAAAAGCTAATCAGTCAAAGGGAAGGTAGAAAATGTTGATGGAACCTTCCATTCCTTCGGGACGTAAAACAATTGTGAAATTCGCCGGGTCGTAATCAAGTGTATGTTGTGTACGTTATCTGTAGCTAAAGAAATCTCGTTGTGTGGATGCAGTGCGCCACGCCCTAGAACTGGGTTATCGTCACATAGACACCGCCTTTCTATACCGGAATGAGGGACTTGTAGGCAAGGTATTGAGTGAATTTGTGGGGGCGAGAAAAGTACTCCGAGAACAGGTGTTTCTGGTCACAAAGGTGAGTCGTAGGACGTCCTAGAATCAGTGCTTATTGGGTATATAAATAGGTCATCGATATCCTCGTAGCTCTGGGACATCTATCACGAACCGAAGAGGGTGCAATATGCCTGTGAGTTGCAGCTGAAGCAACTGGACGTTGATTACATAGATCTTTACCTGATGCACTCGCCAGTGGGTGTCCATTATATCTCAGATGAGGATATAATGCCTCATCTGGAGACTGGAGAGCTGTGGACTAAGTGAGTCGACGACCCCAACTGTTTCTCCCACAACCAGACAGAAACTGACCTTTGCTGAATTCCCAGCAACGTGGACTACGTGGACACTTATAAAAGCATGGAGGAACTGGTGGACTTGGGAATCGTACGCAGCCTGGGACTGTCCAACTTCAATGCTCATCAGTTGCAGAGATTGCTGCAGAGCTGTCGCATCAAACCCGCTGCTCTTCAAATCGAATGTCACCCGGAACTGGTGCAAATCCCATTGATGGAGCTCTGTAGGATGCACAACATCACTGTGGTTGCCTACTCGCCATTGGGTCGTCCCACCACCGGCAGACCCTTGCCTGAGTACTATAAGGATAAAGAAGTTCTGGCTATGGCTAAGAAGTACCAGAAGACACCTGCCCAGGTGGTCCTTAGATACTTGGTGAGAAGGCCCCAGAGTTTGAAGGGTAGAAGAGCAAAGCGAATTAATTACCAATGTTTCGCAGATTGATCTTGGCACGGTACCCATTCCCAAGGCAGCACATAAGAGTCACCTTATGGAGAATCTAGATATCTTTGATTTCAATCTTACACCCGAGGAGTTGCTGCACTTTGAGTCTTTTAATCGAGGCCATAGAATCTGGAAGTTTGAAAAGGCCAAAAACCATCAGTATTATCCTTATTAGAGCGGGCTTATATACTCCTTAAATTTAAAACTTGTCCATAAAATAACATACAAATAAGATAATTTAAGTGAATGAAAGTATGAAGATGAAAAGACAGCACCCTAAGAGTTGTTCCAGATAAAATCCACATCTTTGATTGTACATTCTGTGAAGCTGTCATGGATTTTGTTGTCGGGCTCCAAACTGGACACTCGGTGCCCGACCTTGACATAAAAACTATACCATATCGAAATCGACACACACCTTTGGCTTCGTTCACAATTAGATCCCTTTTACTTAGTTATATTTTATGCTACAAGTTTGCGCGATACCTGGTAATGATGAGTACGAATCCATTGGAACTTCCAAAACCTGAAGAGGAGATAGAGCAACCGAGTACCAAGCGCGATTTCTTGGGATGCGCCCTTGCCAATGTGGTGGATCGTGCACGACGCCTGAAAATGAGCAGTGTGGAGAACGTGACATATCTTTTCGACAAATCCTCAGATGTCGTACTTGATTACGGGACCAAGCCATCATCCGTCAAGACGCAAGTCTCGAAGCCTAAGCTCGTCAGCACTCGGAGCCGCTTATGGCGCAGACTACAGAAGTCGGAAATTAAACTACAGACGCCACGTAGTACCCAGTCCCAGACCGCTCGTTTGCCGTTGCCGCCACCACCGCCGCCTCCCTCGCCACGCTGTCCGAAGGCTAATGATATCTGTGTTGCTTTGGAGCACGCCAAGGAACTCCTGGACAACTACCAAAAGACAGATGAGCTGATCGATGGGCTGCTGGAGCAAGCCACAGAATTGAATCGGGAAGTCCTTTCCCAGTGGCAGCTGCAGCGCGAAGCGGACTTGGTACGCGACATCGAGGTGGAGTACAGCGAAGACTACATGTACATCATGTTGGAGTCCATAAGAGCGGAATTCAAAGACCCAGATCCTTGTGATAAATAGAGCTTGAACTTGATGTACAATAAATAATCCTTGTATAAATTAAATTTTTTCTCTATACTTTGTAATTTGTATTATTTCAGTCGTCAGAGTCGGAGCTAAGAAATACAAGCACATTTTCGTCATTGTTTTAACAAACTTATATTTTGCAGTCCAAGGACAATGAAGGCGAAGCTGCGGTGAAGCACGCCATCGATGTGGGTTATCGTCATATTGATACGGCTTTTTTCTACCAAAACGAGGCTGAAGTAGGCAAGGCCATTAGGGATAAGATCGCCGAGGGAGTGGTCAAGCGCGAGGATATTTTCCTGGTGACTAAGGTAAGGTCTACAGATTGTTTGCTTTTAAAGTATAGTTAAACCAAAATCTAAAATTATTTCCAATAATACGAACTTTCCTTCACCAGCTGTGGAATGTGTTCCATGATCCTGCCCTTGTGGAAGGAATTTGCCGCAAGCAGCTGGCTAATTTCGGGCTGGAATACATCGATCTATATCTGATGCACATGCCAGTGGGTTACAAGTACATTGATGAGACCAACCTTATGCCAAAGGATGAAAACGATGTACTTCAACTCAGCGATGTGGACTATCTGGATACGTACAAGGCGATGGAGAAGCTAGTGAAGTTAGGCTTAGTCCGCAGCATTGGAGTGTCCAACTTTAATAGTGAACAGTTGGCACGCGTTTTGGCCAATTGTGAGATTAAACCGGTCACTAACCAAGTGGAGTGCTCGCCAGCTCTCAACCAGAAGTCTTTGACAGCCTTCTGCAAGAAGAACGATGTCACTTTGACGGGCTACACGCCTTTGGGCAAGCCAAAGCCCGATCTTCAAAAGCCGGACTTTATCTATTCCCCGGAGGTCACTGCTATTGCCCAGAAATATGGCAAAACAACACCGCAGGTTGTACTGCGTTATTTGGTAAGTTTAGACAACTTTCCTATTTCTAGAGATTTAATTTGACTTAATTTTTATATTTAAATAACAGGTTAGCCTGGGCGTTATTCCCATTCCAAAGTCATCGAATGCGAAACGCATTTCCGAGAACTTTGATATTTTCGATTTTGAGCTGACTACCGAGGAGATGACCGTTCTTGATGGTTATCACACTGGGGAGCGTGTGGTGCCATTAAATTTAATCAAGGGACTGAACCACAAGTACTATCCCTTTGCCATTGAGTTTTAAATTAAAAAAGCACAGGTAGTGTAAATGCAGCTTTGACATGTCAATGTAGAAGTACACTTTATTACGAATAAAATTATTTTGTTACACATATATGTACATAAAAAATATATATGTACTAATTATTACTAGAAACATTCATTGCGCAAAGGTTATTGTGCTTGCTTGCGCCATAAAATCACACCTTCCTTGGAAAGACTGGAATATCATAGAAAATTAAGAGCAAATGGGAGCATCGATCTTTGCCTTGGCACGTTTGGCCATAAAAAGGGGGAAAGGTGAAAATGTTTGGAATAAGACTGAATGGCTAATGACTTTTTTTAAAGTCATCTGAACTAAATGATCCTAAAGGAACGAGAGTGTGGCAACTATTAACATTTTAAGCATTTTAAAACACGAGGTTGATCTGGAAAATATATTCAATTCTTAAAATAAACAAAAACTTAAGCAAATACTTAATATCCTATGACATTTAGTTAAAAGTTCTTAACTTAACAAGTTCTTATTTTTCTTTATGTTATGTACTTTTAATAATTTTGTTAAAATAATGCAAGTAGAATTATAGCATTTAAAATCATTGTAATTCCCGAAATATTTGTTTTTCTGGATCTCCCACTTATCACTGGATCTATAATTTGGGATACTCACCAAATATATGAAATATGATGCGGAAGCTATTAGATCCGCCAACTGCATAAATGAAGCATGAAAGTATTATGGCCATGTAGGTGATGTTAGCTAATTACTGTTGAAATTGTACAGTACATTTGGGTTAATCATCGCCACCCGCTTGCCCCCATACCTTAGTAGATAGTCAGGTGAGAGGTGACGTCACCTTCTGTAAACCCTAAAAACAAAAGAGATACTTGGGAGTGCACACGCGCCAAAACAAACTATTATTGTTTAGCTTTTGAACTTCCGTGGCAAGGAGGATCCACCATGCCGGGTTTTTTGGCCCCAATTTGGCTAGAGAGGATCGCTGGCATGCGCCACCTTGACCCAGGCCAAGAATACGAACCAGTAGTTAGCCTTTCCGAACCACTTTCCCGTCGGCCATCCCATATTCAAGCTCGGATTGGGTTCGGGTTGCTCCACTCACTCGCTGATGGTTCCACTCAACCGAAGACTCAGCTGAGCTGAACTGAGCTTAGCTGAACTGAGTGAAATCGAGCTGCCGAGAGCGTGGTTTAAATAAATTTTCAGGCCAAAAATTGGCAGTTTCGCTCAAAGCGTGCCCACGTTCACATCGTCGCCAGTTGCGGTGCTCAAACACGGATATTCCGGCGATCAATTAGAGCCTCCGGGGATACAAATATTGTTATATAAGATTATCGTCGAGAGCGACTTGTGAAATCCCCTCCGAAATCCCAGTAGTGCCAGTGCGTAAATCAAAAGTGAGTTTAAGCCAACAGAATTTCTCAACATATGAATATATCAGCTTGAAATTAACGACAAAGGATCAGGCGAGATATGTGTGCCATCATCGGGGGCATTATGTAAAAGGCCTGGGAAAAGCTCATGTAGCGGCAAAGAAAAACTTTCGCTTTCACCAAGTACAGCTCTTTTTGCAGCGCAGTTGCGCGCATGCGCAGCGACATTTTGTAGACCGTTTTGCTACTGTGTTTACCTGGGATTACCAGCTGGCTTTTAATAGACTTTGTCTGCAATGCCGGAAATATTCCAAAATCGGTTAAGGAAATATTAATCCTAGATCTGTTAATTTTGAGTTCTTGTAACAAAGGATACCTTTTAAATATCAGAAAGGAAATTTGCTCGGCGGGTTAGGATCAGTTTGCTTTTAATATTTAAAATATAAATATATAATTAAAAGGTTTTGTGTAAATTCTTATAAATATTAATTTCTGATTAATAATATCTAAAGATATTTTAAAACATTATAAATAAATCGATTTATAAGCATTTAATTAATCATACAAGTTAGAGTGCTCAAAACAGAATTACCACTATAAAAGTACAAGTACAGTTTATGTGAACTTTTAATATTTATTTCTGAGTTGAAATTATTAAATTAAAGTTCATTTCAATAAAACAATAAGTTCCTAAATAAAGGAACTCTCGTTTGCAGTTAAAATATTGATGCTTTAATATCGATTTAAAGTTATAAGTTTATATTTTCATAAACATTTCACCAAAATGTTAAACTAAAATCTCTTTTCACCCTTTTTGAAGTGATAAACTTGACGTTAATCCCTCTATTATTTTTCCTCTGTGCATCTAGATCGATGCTAGATTTTAAAAGCAGGTGCGTGGGTGTAACCAAGCAAAGATTAGGCATTTGTTAATACCTTTTTAATCATATATATTGACCCACTGCCAGGCAATTATTTTACGGTCAATAGTCTTGAGTGCTGAGAGGTTTGAGCCTCGTCGCTGGTTTTGTAATTCTGTTTGCTGTTTGCTGGCTTAATTGCCGAGGCCCGCAAGGTCTTCTCGGCCGAAGTTGGCCAACGCCATAAAAGCCAAGTTGGATGGCTGCTTGTACTCGTGCGAGCGTTGTTCAAGTGTAGGTATAATGCAATTTGTGCGCTTCGCATATAAATATTCATGGCAAGTGGCAGTGGCTATTGTGCAACTGCCAGGGACGCAGTCCCAGACGTCGACGTGACGATTTCCTTTGACCAATAACCAATAGCGGCAATAGCCTCGACTGTTATTCTGGGCCCCATAAACCGTAGGCCAGTAAATAAATCCCCACCTCGAGTGCAACTAATGAGTGTTTGCTCGGACCCTGACTTGACCAACATGACTTGGATTAGTATTAGGCCTTGGCTAGCGAACGTGGCCAGGCTGCCTAATGACTCTACAACGCCACCATTAGATTCTTGACACATGAATATATATATAAAGCACAACTCATCCGGGGAACATTAGCGATCGGAGCGATCTCTGCCCCTGTAATTGTGACAGAATGCAATCTGCATGATAATCCGGAAAGGCAGATGCAAATATCGTCAAGTCGTAAATTCGCTAGTTCGTAACTCGTATATATTCCAAATGTTTGAAACTGAGGCACAGCTAACGCATATATTGCCAATGGGCACGGTCATGGGGTGGGATTGAGTAAAAAGGCACTTAAAAAAAAAGAGGGGTTACCTTATGAGAATAAGGTGTAGTGGAGCCGTAAAAGTGTAAATTAAAGTTAAAATTTTTTACGAGAAAATTTAGGAACTTTCAGAATTTTTGCCTACGTTTATCGATTTTAAGTCAAAGTTTATGTCCAAAAAATTAAATGTTTATCGTTTCAAATCAATGCTTAATAACTTAAAATCACTGCTAATAATCTTAAATGATTTTTTACATACATATAAAAATGTAGCTAATATTGATAATAAGGAACTAGAACTTCGCATCTCTTTGTGAATATATTTGTTTATATATGTTTTCAAGGCAGGCTGATCTATTATTAAATAAGTTGAAAACCCCAATTTACAAACGTATTCTTTATACACAAAGTTGATTAACAAATCTTTAAATTGATTTAAAATAAATTAAATACTATAATATATTAAGAAATATGTTATAAAGATAAAAATGAAATAAGCTCCTCTAAAACCCAGTTAGCTGCGATTTCTGCCCTTAACCTAAACCTTAATCAATATTCACTCGTAACATTTCTTTCTCTGTATAGTGTGGGGAGTGGATTGGGATGGGAAAACCAGTTTTGAGCATTACTCGGGGCCTGCACTCTTTACTCTTACCAAAAAAAGCGATATTGTGGTCCGTACTATACTTACAGATATACGATATGTATGTAGTTCGGTTTGGCAGCTTTTATGCTGTGATGTAACCAACGAACGGGCTAATTGGCGGAGCGGAAAACGAAAACGCAAAGAAAACGATAACGAAATTACAAATCGCATGTTTCACTAGACAGCCATCTTCAGCACGGCATATGGATGTCAGTATGGCCCATAAATGATCGAGTTACCAAAGCCTGAACTCTTTTGGGCCACATATCTGGTGATCACTTTTTTGGAGGTATTCAAAGCAGGGGTAATTCCACACGTTCAATATATACATATATTTTTTTTCTGTTTACATCAGCCCCAAAAAAAGAGCGATGGATCGATTGCGTTGAGAAAACTGTGTGAAGGCCATGAAAGTGAACAAACTGGTCATAAACAGTTTGTTGACCAAAAAATAGTTGGTCGTAGCCGACACCTTGTTTGCCAGCGCCAGCGCCTTCGCCATAGCCATCCATCCATCCGATCCGCAATTACAGGGCAGTCATCTTTCTCTCGACCTTCGACGGGGTTTTTTTACGACTAGAAATTTAAATGGGCAGCCGCTTGGAGCTTGGAGCTTGGAGTTGGAGCTAAAATGACAAAACCGAGTGGGTCCAAGACCAAACCTTCCGATTTTCGTTTCATATGCAAAGCAGTGTCAAAGCCGGCTAAGATTTTTTGGGTCACGGTCAATGGACCTCTGTAAAAAGCGAAAAAATCAGCTGTGCTGGCTTCATCGCGGAAATGGCACCACCACCATTTCTGTCAAAGATTGGCCAACGAATGAAGAGTCATCCTCATGCATATTCAAGTCCAACAATGGGGCAGAGCTACTGTGGTGAGCTGGATGCCCACGCAAGCCATTGCACTCCCAATCGAACCATTCCGGTCTCCATGACATTGTGCAGTCAAAAGTCAAGTGGGATTAATTGGTATGCATATCTATGTGGGCATGTCTTGGATATATTCCTCTGGTGGCTGGTCCAGTAAACTGCGCTGACCCTTGAGAGTTCGACTCCGAGTTCGATGAATGTTTTAACATTTTGTTTTTTTGTGGATTGCGCAACAAAGTAGCAACTCGGCTCAGTTCGTTGGCGGTTACACCTGACCAAGGGCAACTGGCCAATTATATTCGCCGTGAAGAAATCTGGCAGTGGCAGTGGCGATTTTCAGACTGATTTTCGCTGACAACTGGACCAAAAATGCGGTCTTTAATTAAATTGTTATCATATCTTAAGTGGAATTTAAAACCAAGGGGGCGGGAGGCATTACATAGTTGAGCTGGTATTACACATTTTTCAATTTGGTTTAAATGAGTGCAGTGGAAGGCTTATAACGAGATATATTTAAGATCAGCTTTCGCTTTTATCGAGATTACTCTAAATTGACAGAGTTCATGTTTGAAGTTGGTTAAAAGTTAAAAGTGGTTGTAAAAGATGATGGTAATCTTTATGTAATCCCTTGCAATTTTATTTATAGATACGTTTTCACTTAGGTTTTAAAAATATAAGTTAATGAATTATATTTTTGGTTTAGTAAAGCTTAATGGAATTTATTTAAATTGCATTAAAGAATTCCCTATTTATTTGTACATTATCATCATTATAGTATGTAATTTATTATACATTTTCTGTTAAAAAGATATTTCGTATTAATGCTTCATTGTATATTTCTTAAAGTATTTAATTAGTAATTAAGTTTTTCAAGTCTTCTTAACTCAAGCAACCAAGACTAAGTGCGAATTTTAATGACTTTTATGGCAATTAAAAAGAAAATTTAGTTGGTAAATCGTGAGAGTCGTGGTCGTGGTCACGTGCCTTATACAGGTGAAAGTGAGAATTGGGCAAAGAGTTATATCTTAAAGTGTCTATATCTGAACACTTAAAATCTGCTCTCTAAATTTAATAAAATTATAATTTAATTAACCATTTTTCCCTTTCCCTTACAGTGCTCGAGACCGAAGTGCTGCAACAACCAAAACTGAATGGACCAGCGGACAGTTCTGGAGGGGATTATGACCCCTATGTCTGCGGCTTGAGTCCGGCCATGAAGCAGGTGGCCAAGGAGGAGCTGCACGAGGATGAGAACATTAGGCGTCAGGCTCTGGCCCAGTTCCGGGAGTGGATCGACAAGCATCCTCATATCCGCAAGTGTCGCACGGATTCAGTTTTCCTGCTGCGCTTCCTTCGCACCAAGAAGTTCTCCGTGCCCGCCGCCTGTGAGATGCTGGAGCGCTACCTGACCATCCGCCAGCTGTTCCCCCAGTGGTTCAAGCAGTTGGACATCAACGATCCGGCCATTAATGAGATCTTTGAGAATGGATATTTGGTGCCTTTGCCGCAGCGCGATGCCACAGGACGTCAAGTGCTCTTCTCCGTGGCGGGCAAGTTTGATCCCTACAAGGTGACCTGAAAATTGAGAAAAGCTATAAGGAAAATGTATTAATTAAATATATTTCCATCAGTTCTCTTCGGTGCAAATGGCTCGCGTGCACAGTTTGATTTGCGAGGCTCTCCTAGACGATGAGGACTCTCAGGTGGCTGGATATGTGTACATCAACGATGAGAGTGGCATGAACATGGGCTTTGTCAGCCTCTGGTCACTGACCGACCTGCGCAGCATTGTCAAGTGCATCCAGAACTCCACCCCCATGAGGCACAAGGAGACGCACTTTGTCAATATTCCACACTATGCCAACAGGATCATCGAGCTGGGTGTGTCCATGCTCAGCGATAAGCTCAAGAAGCGAATTATTGTAAGTTTTAAGATCATGTACAGTCAAAGAGATTACTTATTCTACTCTCCCTGCAGGTTCACAAGAATGTTGACATTCTAAAGACCAAGATCGATCCCGCCATCCTGCCCAAGGAGTATGGCGGCACCGTTCCCATTGCCGACATGATAGCCGAGTTCAAAGCGAAGCTCCTCAAGCGTCGGGCGGCGATCCTTGCCCTGGATGATATGCAGATCGAGGTCACCAAGGATGCGGCCAACTTTGCTGGCAATGATATTGGCGACATTGATGCTGGGGTCGTGGGCAGCTTTAGGAAACTTGAGGTGGACTAGGCGCCATCTCAGCTAATACCCTCTATTCCCGTAGACTAAGATAGGATAGGTCAGGATACCATTGAGACAGTCGACAAGACGCGCGGGCATGCACACTTCGTACCTATTTAAAAAAAAAAAAAAAACAAGCATCACCACTATATTATATAACTACCAAGGTCTCGCCGGGGACTTTGATCCCGTCCAAAAATCCAGAGTCCTTAAACCAAATATGGTTTTTGGGTTCTGTGGTTTTGAGTTCCCACAGTTGTATATTCCATCCATGCGTTACGTTATGTTAAATGAATGTCTATTTAAATATATGTATATACTTATTCTTGTGAATTTTAATTACTTAAAAGTGTTTTTATTCTTACTTATTAAGATTAATAGGGAACTTTATAATGAGCAGATAATTGATTTTTCATATATTGGGTTTTCCTATTGATAAGCTAAGATAATGGTAAAACCTTATTGAAACACTCTCTTAATAAGAAAAATATTATTATCTCCCTATGGCACATGTTTTTCGATATAAGGAACTCAAATATTGCTCACCGGCAAGAGTTATGACGCATTGTTAACAGCGGAAGGAAATGGCTTTGGTAACACCACACCTTTAAGGTACAGTAAATGCTCTCTAGAATTTACCCTGGGTTTTCAGATTGAATTTTGAAGATAAATTATTAAACCTGAAATATTAAACAATATTCATATTTCTGTACTTATTATTTTAACTATACAATTTTTGTCATAAGCCTTAGATAATTGTTCGTAAAAGCCAAAAAATTTATTTTCATCTAAATTAGATAAAGCCAATCGGACGACTATAGCATATAGCTGCCGTAGCAACGATCGTTTAATGTATGTTTATCTCCCTCTCTCTCTCTCTCTGTGTATCTCTAATATCTAACAATTTCTCTGTATCTCTATAGATATCCTAATCTCTAACATTCTCTGCCTCTTTCTAGAGATAGCTCTTACTCTCTCGCTCTCACTTTCTCTGTTCTCTTTTCTCTGGGACTATAAATACAGGCACACAGGCCTGTGCGCAGCCTCATTCTGTCCGCGGCCTCCCTACTGGACACATCTCTTGTGATTGTGATAGATAGTGATAGTAATTGCCTGATCACCTGCAATGGCCAATGAAATACATCTGGATAATTAGGAAGAACCACTACAGTATATGCTACTTACCAATTAAATCCCTTATTGCCAATACTTAATATAAATTTAAAGTGATACAGAAATTTGTATTAAAGACATCTACACAAGTTTACACCAAGAGTAATTACTTAACTTATTATGCGACTGAGAAGTAATTAAAAAGTATGGGTTACAACGATACACCAATTCTTTTAATGGAGAGTTTTTACTGTACAAAGTATTTCTTAGGTATTTCGGAAATCTGAGTGAAAAGTACCGTAAGTGGGTGGCTTCTGCCTGTGTAGCTGTTAAAGTTTAGAAGACTCTAGCTACCTGAGCTACACGATGGCCCCGCTAAGAAGACCCAATTACAGTGCAACCGCTAAGTGGTTAATTCCAACATAAGCTTAATAAAATATGAAGAAGAAGATTCTTGCCACCGATCTTTGTACAAATGTCTGTCTGTAAGTATGTATGTATATATGTAGGTTCTTCCCATGTTCAAAGTATCTGTTGCTTTGTAGCGCGATAACGGTGACACAAGCCGCGACGAGAGAATCTCAGTGCATTCTACGGTCGCCAGAAGAGAACAAAAGTTCTTAAGCTCCAAGTATGAGTAAATACTACAGTTGTGTTAAAAATAATAGGTAACTAAAAGAGTTAAAATAAAATACTAAATATACATTTTTTGTATTAATATAGTATCTTGTAATTAATTATTTTACATTTTAATGAGACATTTCTAATTTCTCAATTAAAAACATAATGTTTCAAATTTTAATGCTTTGCAATTCTTTAATTCTTATAAAAATTAAATAAATATTCCAATTTGTATCTCCAAGGTTTTAATACGAATCTGTGTTAATTAAAATATCTGAAAATATTGATATATCCACAATTAATGGAATGTATCTCTATCTTTAGAGCTATGATCTTGACCGCTGCTGTGGGCGGCGTGTGCGCGACGAGCAACTGTGTGTCGGCATTATGATTGTACGCTTATTATTATGGCCGCATACGAAGTAATTTCCAAGTTACTTTTCAGTTGAGCGCTGGAACAGCTGGAAGAACGTAGCGACCAGATCGCCAGCAGTATCTACTGTCTGATTCCGATTCGCGTTCTCATTCGCGTTCTCGATTTAAGTCGTTAATTGTTGCGCTAAGTGCTCTGCTTTGTGAACTGACCTCTCGAGCACTTGTTGTTGACATCTCCACGTAGCGCGGTTGTGAAATTCTGTGAAGTTCTTCTGCTCAAATCTTCTAATTGAAGTTTTTAGATTGTCAGTCTGCGTTTTGCATCTGCATCTTAGTGTTTAGTGATCTTTGGAGATTGTAAGCTTAACTTACAGACTTGTATGTACATTTATAAATTTGCCGCCGCTCTCTGGCGTATCTAATTCCAATGGTCACGATTAGCAGTAGTAAATGGGAGTGTAAATGAAAGAGAGCGAGCTTTGCATCGAACAGCTGTTTGGGGAGCAAGAGCTTTGGGGTTTATTGCTCTTTGCGTGAGCACTGCACTTTCCAGAGAGAGACAGAGAGGAGGGAGAGCGAGTGATAGCGAGAGTGGGGCAAGTTTCGTTATCAGCGCAAAGTACGATTCGTAGATAAGAAAAAGTCGGCGGCGGGTGTTAAGTCACTTACAAAATTTATCGCTTCTTGGCTGTGTTCGCAATCGGATGGAAACCCCAGAGAAACCAGTGCAACGCGGAGTGAAATATAACTAGAAACAGGCGCAACCCACACTCGCCATGAACAAGCTAAGGGCCCTGTTGCCCGGCCAACATTCTTCCACGAACGGGGCTTCCAGGCACTCTGTGGCCCTGGAACCGGAGATCGGTTTCCAGATCACCATTGACAATCCCAAGAATAGTGACCAGTTCAAGAATTCCTCAGCCGTTCCAGAACTGAATGTACATTTGATTGCCGCCCGACATCTGCCATCGCTGTTCGGCTTCAAGATCGTCCAGGGGTATTTGATAAAGGTAAATTAGTGCTAATTAGTCATGATATTATGTGATGTGTGATATGACTTAGTTATAGAACTGTGAAAATAGCGTATTTTACGTTGGTAAACAACCCAACAAATGACAAAGATACAAAAGTATCTGAACTGATTGGAAATCTATCTAGAAGGTTTCTAAGAGTATGCTTGATTCTGGTTGATATAAACGTGTCACTTCATACTATTTCATATCATTTTAAAATTGTTTGAACACTTTAGATACTTTTCTTAACATTATTGTGCGGGAGACCTGAGATTTCTGTGGCACTTAAATAAGAATATATTTCGATAAAATTAAAAATAATTCCCAGACTTATACTTTTTTTAGAGTGTCTATAAAGAGTTTTTTAAATTATTTCCATTTGATAAAATAAAAAGACATAATGGTGAAGTTTCACAATACTTTTTTCACATAATCTACAGAAATTAATCATTTTTTCAATTAGATTAGACTGAAAGTGGGTCATAAATGGTTACAAGCAATAGTAGAAATTAATCAGTTCAGTTATCAGTTAACTTATCTAAATACTACAACCACAAATAAATTAATTATAATTAAAATTATGAACCAAAACTTAACTTCCTTAAATTATTTCAAGTGATTTTTATTGAATTCCTATCTGATTTCTTCTCTAAGCTGCGTATTTCAGCTTCATGTAACTATACTATTAAATATATCACCGATCTTATTCTCAATGTCCATGGAAATTTTCAATAAAAGTTTAAGATAATATCCAACTATTGAGCTAAATATTTACAAAGGCATTTACATTTCATTTACTTGGCACCTCACTTTATTTTCCCAGCGACCCTGAACATATTTCCCATTTATTTATTATTCAATGTATCTATTTCTGATCTCCCCCATTCCCCTGACTATTACACAGGTAAAGCTATTTCCCGGAACGAAACGCATGGACAGCAGTATTCAGACCAACACGTGGCCAAAGTTCAATGAAAATTTCAAGTTTCCCCTGGTGCCCGATATCAAGTATGTGTGATATATGAAGCGTTACTATGAATTTATTAAAAAATTTGTAATTAAATACTTGTAGATCCTCCATGAAGCATGTCGGACGGCGCTCTACACCGGCAAATGGTCAGGTGAACAGCTCTGATCCGGAGCCGGGAGACCTCTTCTCCGGACAGTTTGTGGTCTTTACGGTCTACGCCTTGCTGGAACTTCCGGCCGCAGTGAGTTGGTCATACAAACCTCCCAAACTTGGGTTAAATCCCTTTTTTACCAGAACTTCAATCGTTTTAATAAGACCTACCGCTCGCTGAAAGACAAGAGTACCAGCTTTGTTCAGCGTTTTATGGATCCTACTTCCGGAACTGCGGATGCATCTAAAGCCGAGAATGGAGGAGGCAAGTCCAATACTGACCAGGTCAAAGGGAAGAAAAGTCTGAAAATGCCAGAGATGCCATGCCACCTCTTACCATCAGTGAATCACGCAGGAATATTGGTAGGAAAATGGGAATACATTTAATTAAAATGAAATATTTAGAGGCTCTTAAAATTCAACTTACTGGTGCCAAAAAGTATGCTATAAAATGTGTCACATACCAGAAATATATGGAATTTGTTAATAAAACATTTAATTGTTTAATTTAGGACATCATTTGAAAAGATCTTTTAACTAAAACTATTTTCTAATGAAATTCCAATTTATTAAGAGCCATAAGAATATTATTTTAATAGTGACTTCTAATATTTTTGATCATATTTCTGTGAATTTATTCTTGTCACATTTTGATGTTGAAACTATCTCACAATCAGACATGTATATAAAGTATCTGTATATTTTTTGTTGTGTTTTCCCTCTCAAGGTTCCGTCACCTGCTACCTGGAACCCAAGCTATTCGAGCGCAATAGCCGAACGGGGTGTTATTCGACGGAGGAGCTGTGGCTGCCCATTAAAGATATCACCACAACGGTGGCCAAGTCATCGCCGAGCAATAACAATGTGAGTAGGAAAACCCATGTACTGGTATTTCATACCTGACCCAGAGTATTGCTAAACAAGTTCACCCGAACTTAAACCCGAACCCGGTGTTACAAAACACACGCGACATGGCTTGTTAAATGGTAATGGAGATGTGCGCTTTTAATTGTGCAAAGTGAAAGCTTCCCGGGAAAACACAACAACACTCAGCTCGACAAAATGCTTAAATGAAAGCAAATTTTTTAATTGCAACCGAACCGAAAAAAAATTAATGCGCAAGTTGAGTCAATAGTGTTTGGGGGGAAATGATAAATTGAAAGCCAAGCGCATACTTTTTTACCCACACCATATAATGTCAATAAAAAGGGTGTCGGTGTTATATTAGTTCATTCCAGTTTAGGTCAATTATCTTATCAGTCAATGCGATTTCAATTTGTTGACATAGCCGATGAGAATATAGGTTTTTAAGCCAAAATGGTCAGCATATCGAGGGTTAGATGTCTAAGAAACTTTTACGAAATCCAGATATTGATAAAAGTACATGTAACTAATTATTTGATAAAGGTAAAGGGGAAAAATCTGTAATATATATTCGGATGCTTTACTATTCTTTTAATTACAATTATAATAATTAATTTAAATATATTTCCCTCCATTTCAGCTGACAAACTCTGCCAAGGGTGTGGTGGAGCTGGCCCTTGAGGTGCGTGATCTCCTGGAATGTGACTCAACCGCCGTGGATCCCTCAACGCCTCCTCCAACACCCACAAGTCCAACCACTCAGCCGACTCCAACTCCCAGCTCAAATACTCCATCGGTGAATAATTGGCAACGGATGACCGCCGAAGTGAAGCGAAAGATGGGCATGAGTAATGTGAGCAACTCTGATGCCGGCAGATACTTGCTCCGACTGACCACCACGCGGATGCGATGCTCCAACAAGGTCAAGGACGAACTGGAGGCCACGGCCAGTTCGGGGGTGTATGTGAAGACCACTGCCTTTGAGCATGGCATCTACATCGATGCTTGGAAGTCACCTGTCTTCTTTCCCTCGCTCTCCACCAAATGGGACGATGGCTCCGGCGAGGGTACCATAGACATTCCACTCCAGAGACTTGACCAGCTGGAGGACATTGTTGTTCGCATCACGTTGGCCACCAAGAAGATGGGCAAGAAGCTGGTCCTGGGCACCGTCATAGTGGGAGGAGATCAGGCCGGCGACACGGGCTCCGAGCAGATGCGACTCATCCGGGAATCCCCGCCAGGACAACGGGTAGCAGCCTGGCACTGCTACCACTAGGACCTGCTGCTCCTCCACCATGGCAATGTAAATAGCATCATCACCTTTAGCCCCTGCGCATGCTGTATGTACGAGTATTTACTTTTCGATCGTTAAAAAATATTAAATTTAATTGCGAATTGTAAAATGCTTCTTTGGGAAAGTTTGGCTCATTTCAACGTCGACGACGTGTAACACACAGTTTATTGCCAGCGTAATGGCAGTGATCAGACAGAGAAAAATCCTATAATACAGTTGGGTTTGATATTACCCGCTAAAGTATTAGTATAAGACTTAAAAATCAAACTCTAAAGAAAAATATATTGTTAAAGAAGATAAAAAGAATTAAAATTCGGTCCTGTTTTTTTTTGTACATATGTGAAGTTTGGTTTGTATCCAAAAATGGTAAAGTAATTCATATTTACAGGAAAAATTATAATTTATTTTAAACTAATACATCCATAAAATTCAAAACTTGTTGTTAATATCGGAAATACTTATTTTCTTCTTTAAATTGATTTAATTACATTCTTTAAACTTTAAGTACCTTAGAATTTCTTAGTTTGCCCTGTTCCCAAGTTTTCATAGTTAAATTTTATATTATAAAAATTCCCCACATTTCCCCAATATTTTTTCCTCTGTGTATCAGCACCCTCGCTTGGTTTGGCAATTCGCAGAAATGCTGCCTGGGATTTTTGCAGCGATCCATTGTAAGCGTTTTTCACGCAGTTCCAGTCCACTGTGCACAGTCAACACGTGTGTGGAAAAATTCAACGCGACGTTGTAATTACCCTTGCCAGGGTATTACAATTTTAGTCAGAAGTTTACAATGCAGTAAAGAAATCATATTGGACCCTATTTAGTATGTATTTATATTCTTGATTATCATCAACAGATATATATTAGACATTTCAGCCCTAAGTAATAGTTATTGTATATTATTTTAAAATGCTTTAACTTACATAAAAAAGAAATATTATATTATATGTATAAATAATTAATTAATGTATTTCAATTCTTCTTTTCATTTGACCAAAACTGGATTGATTCTTAATACCTAAATTGCAAACGACAAGGGTATAAAGACGGCGGTGTGCCTTTCCTTTCTGGTTTTCACCTCAGCTCGCTGCGGAGCGTTGGCGTTGCGCTCAGTTCTCGAGAAGACGTCGGTTGGATCGGATCGGATCGGATCCGAACGGAACGAAACAGTACTACGGAACGGATATATCTTTTTTTTCGCGGCGATCGCACAGCGGAGTTGTCGAGGCGACATCCGACGGATGGCCATACGTGCTGTCGGGGTTTATGCTTCTGTGCTTCGTCTGGTTCTCCAATGTAAAAATAAAATTGCTCCAATATGTGTGCGCGAAACGGCTTTTGAAATAGTTTCTATCTTAAAAAAGTAATAATAAAATAAAGAAAAACCTCTCAGGTAATTGCTGTGCAAAGTTACGCTAAACGCTAAGCGCTTAACCGTTGACAGTTCAATATTAGAGTCATAAATGCAAACAAATGGGCCTGTTGTCCGTGTTAACATGCAAAGTGCGTCGGATCGTGTGGATTAATTCTGTCCCAACTGCTCCAAGTTGCCAATCGAACTGCAGCTGAAGGAGACGACGATGGTGCCAAGTGATAAATGGAATAAAAAATGTTTCATTCATGAAAACAATCTGCGCTCGCATACGCAGATCCATTTGGATGCGGTTCTTACAGATGCAGTCAAAAGAATAGGACAAAGATCAATAATTAAAGGGGTTTTGTAATTAGATCCAAACTAAAAAAAATATTTTTATTTTTGAGGCTAGCGCCAAAGAATCTTCCTGTTTTTTTTCTGCTGTAATTAATTATAGTTGGTTTGTGAATTTATTAGTTGAAAATATTTTCTTTCTTCTATGAAAACTATCCCAGTGAAATATTTGATGGTCTATGAAATAAATAATTTTGATGGGATATATGAAACTTAATTAGGGAAATATTTTGATTAGGCCTTTTCAGAGTTAATTTGAATCAAATATATACAAAGATAGAATCTTTAATTATAGAAAGATGAATCATTATTATATGAGATAGTGATATTTTTATTTTAATCAGACTATTAATTATTACAGAACTAATAATTGGCATATTTTTGATGATATTTTTTAAATAAATATTAATATTTGAACATATCAAGGATTTCGGATAAATAATAACAAGTTTTTGTGATTAACTTATTTACCTTTACACATTAATAATTTTGCGATACATTTTAAAGATTAATAATCCATTTAATGATCCTGGTTGATAGTTTTATTTGATGAATTTCTGATAAAATACAAAACTTGTTCTAAATGTAATTAAATTTTCTGATAACTACTTGTAAAAATCTACATTATTTAAATTATTTTTTTTCTTGATCCGTAATTTAAAATATCTCCTATATCTCATCCTATTATTTTGACTCCAACTGTGACTCCATCTGTGTTTAAAATGCATTTAATTCATCTGTGGAAAATTGGGTGTTCTGGTGGTGGTGTGGCGAGGTATTGGATGTGGGATTCATGGATCGCGGATGCAGATCTGGGAGATGTGTTGGAAAATTGGGATGTGGGGTAATTTTTTCTTGAGGAGGCTTCTCATTGACGGCGGCATCTTTGCGATGCCATCGATGACGCTGAATTTGCGGCGCGGCGATGTGTGTAAATGATTTATTTCCGACACTTCCGCTAATACTTTTAATACTGTTGTGGTAGATGCTATGTCGCAGAGCGAATCTAATGCGTGGCCGATTACAAAAGGCTGACTAATAAATTAAGCCAGCCCGAATCCGTATACAATACCGCAAAGCCCAAAATGCTGCCCACGAACTGCCCACTTAGGCGGCATTAGGAAAAAAATAGTAAATATAAAAACAAAAAACGACAAACAAACCCGAAGGCAGTGATTTGATTCGATTTATTTTTTTTTAGTAGCTGGTCACGTCATTAAAATTGCATTTCGTTAAACGAGCCCGCGGACATGCAACACACACAGCGAGAGACAGTTGATTGGCCATACCAGACATTGTGGCTACTATAGCCGGCCAACAAGCCAAAAGAAAAATAAATCAGCCAGCAGGTACACAAGGAAAAATTACCTCTAAATTAATTGTCATAATTACTCATTGTACTCGGACAGAGAAAATATATGCAAGGTGATGTTACACATTATTTAATCTCATTTTTTCAAAGCAAACATGACCTTAGTGGTGTTTTTATTAAATGCAATTTTATTTAGCTTTAATGCCTTATCTTTTGAGGAGATAATAATAGGTAACTTTCATTGAAATTTTTAAATTTGTATTAACTTTTATAATCTTGTTTTTACAAAAGCAACATGACCTTAGGGTATGTATTTACATTTTTCAACTGTTTTGCACTTTCTACAGGCTAAAATAACTTATAAGTTATAAATATGGAACATCTCATTCAAAAATATTAACTTTTAGAGTCGTCAATAAACCTTTAAACCTAGTCTCAAAACGAGTTCAAAACTCTCCTGTTTAATAACAATTTCTCTCCGTGTACTGAGCTCTAGTCTCGAAAAGCGGCTGGCCAAATCCAAATTTGTACATTTTCATTCATAAAAAATCGCGTCGGTCTACGCAGCATTAATTTGGGATCGAAAAATAAAAATAAGAAGGGAAAAAACAACGGAAAAGCCGACCACATGCCGAGCGGGCGTGGGCAGTGGGTGGTTGAGGCTGGGATGCTGGAGTGGGTGGCCCATCCACCTTATGGGCAGAACAGGTAAACACACACACATTTATGAGTACCCTTCCTCACCTGGACGGAATTTGATAAAACGGACACTCGATATTCTTGGCCATCTGGGAAATATTTATATATTTTCTTTGGCACTTATGACGCCGTCTCGACCCCGTCATAGTTGAGATGCCGAATCGCACTTTGTCAAGGTAAAGCGTTATGGAGGCGGCAATAATGCGGTTTGTTTACACGGAGATCTCATGGAGATCCGGGGAATTTCGGGGGAGAATCGCAGATCACAGATCGCTGAAGATGGTTCCGGAGACGGAGACTGGGACCTGGGACTGGGACTGAGGTTGTTGCTGCTCTGTTTGCTATGCGGACGCATCGCGTTCTAAATTAAGAAGCAGCGTCGCCCGAAGTACACACAAATCGTACACAAATATATTGTTTAAAGAATGGGGTGGACATATCTTCAGGGTTTTCAACACCGAGCCAGATTTTTGAGCTAAATAAGCAGAAATAAAAAGGGATCCATTAACACAGGAAGCTGATTCGATTTGGTAATAAAGGAAATACACATTGGGAATTAAAAATGTTAATCCCCAGAAAATATTTATTAACACCACAAAGTTTTAATTCTAAGTAAAAAAATAAAAATAATAATAAATATATTCATTCTTTTTAAAAGTGGTTTAAATTTAACAAATGATGAGACATTTACAATTTTTCAGTTTAAAGTTTTCCAACACAACTATGGCTTTTTGTTGTAAATAAAAAAAATATAAAATATGTATCAATATTTTGCTTTAGAGCAGAATATTTTATAGCTTTACCTTTAAACGAACATTTTATGAGCTTTATCAGCAATAATAATATTGGGGATGTTTTCAAAACAAATAAGAACATTTTCGAGTCTATTTAAAAATGTTGTAAACAAAAACCTGAAACATGAGACTTCCTATTTAAGTAAATAGGCAAGAGATTGTATTTTCAAAATCAATTTTTGATGTTTACTACTTTATTTTTAAAGTCAAAATAATAAAAACAAACACACAAACATGAAAAAGAAATCAATTTTGAATAAGATGTATTTTATAAAAAAAAACCATTATTAATTCATTTTTGAAAAGAAACTAACTTTTTTAATTACTATATTATAATATTTAATTTTTTTCTTATACGTGTAAAATGCACTGTGACTTAATTTTTTATAAGTCTGCCCCCAATTTCCTGTATTTTTAATTACCTTAGTGCAATGCCAGATAAACTTCTACGTTTATGTTAAAACGTACTGCGCACCAGCATCCCCAGAGAGTTATCTTCACAAGCATTTCAGATCTCTTCAAACATAATACCAGAAGATCTTCTATAAATCATATTTTTTTTGTGTTTACCATCGCTATGCCGGGTGGGGTGATGTCACAAACATTCGGCGGAGAAATTTCCGCCTCAATGTATAAATCATGTGTCGTCAGGTGTGTTAAAATAGTTTCTAGTGGTTTTTCCGTTTTTTTTATTTTGTTTTTTATTTGATTTGTTTGTGGAATTTTATATCCATCAAGCCGGCGAAAATATTCTTTTTTCAAGCATTGCTAGTTACCCAATATCACATCTTGATGTTTTTAAAACAGAATGTATTCGCTTTGAAATAATTCACAATGAGTGAAAGGATATTGAACCGATTTTATTGGAATTTAGCACGGAATATAAATGGCCAATTTAGCGGAGACCTGGTCAGAGGATGGCTGTTATCGAATTTGGTCATTTGGGAATAACCAGAATTGCAAATGTGGGAGCGCGAACTGGATCGTGCAATGCATTTTTACTTGCAGCTTGTTTCCAGCCCCATCTGACCTTATACGAACGAAAGGGGTGGGCACTTTGGATGTTTTGCGAATCTGGAACTGGCTCAGATTTACACTGGGAAAGAAACAATAGTATGATAAAAAATACCATATTCACTCTTAGTAAGAAAAGTGTTGGGTTTAAAAAGTTAATATTGAAATATATTGACACTGGTAAACGATCTTAGGGGCTTGCATTGAATATTTAAATTATTGTAGATTATTTACCTTCATAAATGAAAGATTCTTGTCAGTTTTTAAAGGAAATTATAGAATTATAAAGAATAAGTTAAGATCTGTAAAGCAATGGGTTGTAAGGTTTATATCAATACGTCATATTTAACTTATGTTTGCAAAACTTCGTTTTGCATTGACCTAAAGCTAAAATAAGCTTTAATCAAAGCGGTATTCTTTGAATAAAAGTGTAGTTTGGCTTAAAAACTCAATCATTTTCTTCCTTAAATCTAGTTTAAAGTCTTTGGTTTAATCTCTGTATATATTTTTTGGCAGTGCAATCCTGACGTAAGTCCAAAGTACGCGTAATTGTGCTCCAGTCAGTGCCCGTGCCCGGTCGCTGTGTCTCTGTTAGTACTTAAAATTCCTTGGTGCAGTTCCGAATGGGTGGAATAGTGGCAGACCTTTTATACGAAAAAGAAAACCCCACTTATGCAGAGGCACACAGGCAGCAGCATCAAAAGCACTCGGCATCCCGACAAAAAAAATACTCATAGTTTATCTTTATGTTTCCAATTTTCCTTCTCTGTTTGTAATTACATGTACCGGGTATGTAGCTAATTAATTTCACTTTTTTTCCCTCCTATTTTTATATATATGTATATGAATATATGAATATTCTGCCCACGCTTTTGATCGCTTTGGGCTAAGGTCTCAGACAAGTTCAAATATTTGCTTTGTAGTTGGCAAAAGGCGGCCGCAGAGATAGGGAGCCAGATTCACCAGACTCACCAGATTCACTAGATTCATCCGATTCAGTTTCGGATTCACCATCGACATTGGCATCGCTTAATTGTGCATTGCGTGGGGGGCACTCTATATGTACTCTTTTATGCTTTTGCCGGATTTTACTTTGACGCAAATGAGTCGCTTAGTCAGGGCAAATTGGGCACTCAGAGACATGGCAGACGAGCGCCGTTTAACGCACAAGTACAGGTTCAAGTACGTCGGCTTTTGTGGGTGTCATTATATAATTTAATTAGCCTATCCCAAAAAAAATTAAAAAAATGAAGTGGATTTTTAAATGGTAGCTGATGGCGTAATTCTCATAGGGAAGCATACAATTGTACTACATATGTTACTTGTACATAATTATGCAACGGGATACTTTGAGGTTTTAACATTTTAGGTTAACAAGAAATCATTGTTAAATTGATAAACAATATTTTACTAAAGAGTCTTTTATGGCGGAAACAAAGTAGCTTTATTGATATAGCCTTTGCTGTAGTTATCATTAGCATAAAAAGATATTTACAATCTGAAGCTAAATACCAGAAAACTTGTAAAACTAAATCAAATGTTAATCCCTAGATTATCACAAAAACTTCAGGATAAAAATATTGTAATCGTTAAAGGGAATATTTACTTAAATTTCATAGATTTCATTTACATAAAAAGGATATTTTAAACATTAAGAATCAAATACTAGAACATATAAATAAATTCCATTTTATTACCTAATTAATCTCAACAATTTAAGGATAAAAATAGATATTGTAATGGTTGTAAAGTTCATTTCTATTTATATTAAAATACCTGAACTTGGTGAATTCCCTAAGCTACAATGAATCCCAAGGCTAACTCCGTTGAGGTTTCTGGAGCGCCCAAAAATAATCAGTTCAATGAAACCAATGCCCCACAACGTCAGCACACACATATTTATATGTACTATTTTATTTCTATTTTCAGTGCGTTTTGTCAGGGTCTTTTGGATACACGGATTTGGATTCGTAACGCTGGCGCAGTATCGGTATCATTATTATTGAACGGATTTCGAAGCAGTTGAGCATGAAAGTGGTGTGCTTGGTATTCGAATTCCTGACGGTGGTCCAACTGCTGCTGGCTGGAGCTCAGGTGAGTGCCACAGTGGGTTGATTGGTGGAACACCCACTTGTCGGAATTGAAATCGAATCGAAATCGCATTACGCATTACGTCAACCCGAAACGATTTGATTGGGAACCGCGAACGCAAAAGCCAACTATTTACGAATGCAAGGTCAATTACCGCGTCCAAATTAGTCGCACTCTCGTTTCTCCATTGTTTTGGGCATCGGGGTTCTCCCCTATAATATATATATCATATATATACAAATATATCGAAATCGTGTCCGGAACGTTATGGGTCTCCTTGAGCTTGAGGTGCAGAGTGGCTCTCTCTCTCTGCTAGTATTTCCGCATGATTTGATGGGAATGTTTCGGTTTTCCATTTTGAGAATTTTCCGATTTGCCATGACCTACGTCTGGGTTTATCCACTGAGGCATCGATCGGCATCGGGTGTGTGCGTTTTGTTTTATTTATTGGCACCTCATCAACGGCCTGTAAAGTTGGGTCATTTAAATAATTCTAATACGCACTTAATTTAGCTAAAACGGTCAATAAAATATATAAAACCTGCTGTGACTGAAACTTAACTTCCTGTTTTTGCTGATCAATATTCACAGACTTAGTTAAAAGAATGTAGTAGCCGCATAAATGAACTAATTTCCAAGTTGTTGGAATACCAAACACGAGTACCTTACCGGTTATGGGTTTTGTTTAGGCAAAGGCGAGATTTTAAGACCGATGAGAGTCGTTGAACTAATAAAACTTTTGAAAACTGTTCGTTTATGTGTATCTCTCCTTCTAAGGTTGGATTTAAAAACTGGAATCTGGCAAACAGATACTCCATGAAATACACTCCTTCATATATTGGGAACTTTTCAAAAGAATTTATTCAAGGGTTTATGCTTAAATGTGATACAACTTAGATTTTTTTAATATATAGAACTTTTAATTTTTTTAAGATGTATAGAATTTGTATCTTGCTTCAATTATTTCGAAGTGATCTTGCTTTTTGATACTTTCTTGTATTTATTTAAGACGTATTTTTTCTTATCCTAAAAGTATAAAATTCAATGTCCCATCATGATAATATCGCTTTTAAGGATACGAACAAGGATGAGATTTATTTTTGAATATTTGTGCAATCGAAATTTGATTAATGGTATATAATGGTATATTAAAATGTAATCTATCAATTTTTTGTACTTTACTTACTTTTCTATTTATTAAAGTATCTTAATCTTCTCTGGAAAATATATTCTTGTTTTACATTATTATTTTGCAACTACATTCTTAATCTATATTATTTTCAATTACTTGATTAAACAATACAAGGAAACATTATAGAAAATTTATCACTCCGAGCGAGTGGCAAGCATTAATGATGCTATGGAAAGTATTTCATGATCGTAGGTCCCTGAAAATATATAATGTATGTGTATTTGGAGATATGCAACATTTTATCGTTGCACAACTTGGCACATTTACTACTTGATTGAGTTAAGCTCTCAGCTCAAATGCACTCGCAGATGGTTATGCCTGCGAAAAATGTCCAGTTTAATGGAGTTTTTGCAGCTGTAGGGCGTTAGTGAAGAGGTTGCTCTGCTCCTCGGCTGAAAGGCGAAGCCTATTTTAGACTGGGACGCGGATGCAGGGATCCGCCGGATCGGTCGGCGAAAAGCGTGAGTTATTTATAGCAGCGACGGCGGCGTCACATCGCGTCGCGTCGCCTGCATTTGGAACTGGAGCTGGGACCTGGTATGGCATGGTATACACCATTGGTACTTTCCTCGGGGATCACAATGCGAAGGCAGCGACATCAGACACGACGGAACTGTCGAGAGCAATGACACTTCAAATAAAAAGCGGCGACATGTCTGATTTATGGTAGATGTCTGAGCAGACTCCATAGCTCCTTGAATCCGAAGGGCGAAGGGCGCAGATCGCGTTTCAACTTTACTCCAAGCGACCTTTAAAATAGGGTAACCCAAAACCCAATCTTATGACCACTTCCTTGTTTTTACTTTTTCTTTCTCAGAGCGGACATGTCCAGGAGGCGAAGAGGTCAATAAATGCCGAAATACGGGACGCCATGGGTCACCAAAGGCATTTCCATCACCATCACAATCATCATCCATCGTACCATGGCTCTCATTGGGTAAATGGTCACCGAGTGCACCGCATGCGAATGCCACAGCATCAACGCTGGAGTGGACGCAGGCGCTCCATTAGCCACAGCCAACCCTTCAGCCGGTGGTCACAGTGGACCACCTGTGATGCGGACTGCATCCGGCGGCGGGAGAGATTCTGCAAGGTGAAACGGAAATGCGGACATACCAAGCACGTGGAGCAGAGCAAGTGCCGGCAGTGAGTGTTTATTTATTAGTTATTTTTAAATATAAATACATTAAATGTGGTTTCAAGATCATTAAAAATACATGGGTAAAGGATGCAAAAAAGAATCCAAAAATATGTATTTATTAATAAATAAATTAGTAATAAAAATAACAAATTTTATAAAATATGTAGAAAACTTATAATTTTTTCCTTAAAATTTTCTAATTGCTTCTATGGCAGCTATATATATGTATATATATAATCCACCGATTCGCCATGTTTCGACTTATATACTAGTAAAATTGTATAGAAGATTAACTCCATAATTTCATTGAAATAGCTTGCTCCTAATTTTGTTCCAAAACAAATCTCGCACATATGTATGTGCATATGATTCCCAACTGGTTCTAACATCCCCGGAACGAAGTGACTTCTATTAGCCAAGTCTCGGATACGTGTTGTGTTTCAAAAGTTGCAAGTCATTGTTTATTAGTGTTCAAAGTTAGTAACTGATCAAACGTACTTACTAATCATAGTTACTTACTGATCATAGATACTTACCAATCATAGTTACTTACAGGTCATAGATACTTACTAATCATAGTTACTTACAGGTCATAGATACTTACTGCTCTTAATTAATTACTGCTTATAGTTAATTACTGATCATATTTTATAAATTGTCCGATTGTTCCTATGGCAACTATATATATGTATATATATAGTCCACCTATTCTCCATTTTCCGACTTATATACTAGTAAAATTGTATATAAGATTAACTCCATAGTTTCATTGAAATAGCTTGCTCCTAATTTTCTTTCAAAACATATCTCGCATATATGTATGCACATATGATTCTCAACTGGTTTTAACATCCCCGGAACGAAGTGACTTCTATTAGCCAAGTCTCGGATACGTGTTGTGTTTCAAAAGTTGCAAGTCATTGTTTTTTAGTGTTCAAAGTTAGTAACTGATCAAACGTACTTACTAATCATAGTTACTTACTGATCATAGATACTTACTAATCATAGTTACTTACTGGTCATAGATACTTACTAATCATAGTTACTTACAGGTCATAGATACTTACTGCTCTTAATTAATTACTGCTTATAGTTAATTACTGATCATATTTTATAAATTGTCCGATTGTTCCTATGGCAACTATATATATGTATATATATAGTCCACCGATTCTCCATTTTCCGACTTATATACTAGTAAAATTGTATATAAGATTAACTCCATAGTTTCATTGAAATAGCTTGCTCCTAATTTTGTTCCAAAACAAATCTCACATTTATGTATGCACATATGATTCTCAACTGGTTCTAACATCCCCGGAACGAAGTGACTTCTATTAGCCAAGTCTCGGATACGTGTTGTGTTTCAAAAGTTGCAAGTCATTGTTTTTTAGTGTTCAAAGTTAGTAACTGATCAAACGTACTTACTAATCATAGTTACTTACTGATCATAGATACTTACTAATCATAGTTACTTACTGGTCATAGATACTTACTAATCATAGTTACTTACAGGTCATAGATACTTACTGCTCTTAATTAATTACTGCTTATAGTTAATTACTGATCATATTTTATAAATTGTCCGATTGTTCCTATGGCAACTATATATATGTATATATATAGTCCACCGATTCTCCATTTTCCGACTTATATACTAGTAAAATTGTATATAAGATTAACTCCATAGTTTCATTGAAATAGCTTGCTCCTAATTTTGTTCCAAAACAAATCTCACATTTATGTATGCACATATGATTCTCAACTGGTTCTAACATCCCCGGAACGAAGTGACTTCTACCAGCCAAGTCTCGGATTCGTGTTGTGTTATAAAAGTTGCAAGTCATTGTATATTAGTGTTTAAAGTTAGTAACTGATCAAACGTACTTACTAATCATAGTTACTTACTGATCATAGATACTTACTAATCATAGTTACTTACTGGTCATAGATACTTACTAATCATAGTTACTTACAGGTCATAGATACTTACTGCTCTTAATTAATTACTGCTTATAGTTAATTACTGATCATATTTTATAAATTGTCCGATTGTTCCTATGGCAACTATATATATGTATATATATAGTCCACCGATTCTCCATTTTCCGACTTATATACTAGTAAAATTGTATATAAGATTAACTCCATAGTTTCATTGAAATAGCTTGCTCCTAATTTTGTTCCAAAACAAATCTCACATTTATGTATGCACATATGATTCTCAACTGGTTTTAACATCCCCGGAACGAAGTGACTTCTATTAGCCAAGTCTCGGATACGTGTTGTGTTTCAAAAGTTGCAAGTCATTGTTTTTTAGTGTTCAAAGTTAGTAACTGATCAAACGTACTTACTAATCATAGTTACTTACTGATCATAGATACATACTAATCATAGTTACTTACTGGTCATAGATACTTACTAATCATAGTTACTTACAGGTCATAGATACTTACTGCTCTTAATTAATTACTGCTTATAGTTAATTACTGATCATATTTTATAAATTGTCCGATTGTTCCTATGGCAACTATATATATGTATATATATAGTCCACCGATTCTCCATTTTCCGACTTATATACTAGTAAAATTGTATATAAGATTAACTCCATAGTTTCATTGAAATAGCTTGCTCCTAATTTTGTTCCAAAACAAATCTCACATTTATGTATGCACATATGATTCTCAACTGGTTCTAACATCCCCGGAACGAAGTGACTTCTATTAGCCAAGTCTCGGATACGTGTTGTGTTTCAAAAGTTGCAAGTCATTGTTTTTTAGTGTTCAAAGTTAGTAACTGATCAAACGTACTTACTAATCATAGTTACTTACTGATCATAGATACTTACTAATCATAGTTACTTACTGGTCATAGATACTTACTAATCATAGTTACTTACAGGTCATAGATACTTACTGCTCTTAATTAATTACTGCTTATAGTTAATTACTGATCATATTTTATAAATTGTCCGATTGTTCCTATGGCAACTATATATATGTATATATATAGTCCACCGATTCTCCATTTTCCGACTTATATACTAGTAAAATTGTATATAAGATTAACTCCATAGTTTCATTGAAATAGCTTGCTCCTAATTTTGTTCCAAAACAAATCTCACATTTATGTATGCACATATGATTCTCAACTGGTTCTAACATCCCCGGAACGAAGTGACTTCTATTAGCCAAGTCTCGGATACGTGTTGTGTTTCAAAAGTTGCAAGTCATTGTTTTTTAGTGTTCAAAGTTAGTAACTGATCAAACGTACTTACTAATCATAGTTACTTACTGATCATAGATACTTACCAATCATAGTTACTTACAGGTCATAGATACTTACTAATCATAGTTACTTACAGGTCATAGATACTTACTGCTCTTAATTAATTACTGCTTATAGTTAATTACTGATCATATTTTATAAATTGTCCGATTGTTCCTATGGCAACTATATATATGTATATATATAGTCCACCTATTCTCCATTTTCCGACTTATATACTAGTAAAATTGTATATAAGATTAACTCCATAGTTTCATTGAAATAGCTTGCTCCTAATTTTCTTTCAAAACATATCTCGCATATATGTATGCACATATGATTCTCAACTGGTTTTAACATCCCCGGAACGAAGTGACTTCTATTAGCCAAGTCTCGGATACGTGTTGTGTTTCAAAAGTTGCAAGTCATTGTTTTTTAGTGTTCAAAGTTAGTAACTGATCAAACGTACTTACTAATCATAGTTACTTACTGATCATAGATACTTACTAATCATAGTTACTTACTGGTCATAGATACTTACTAATCATAGTTACTTACAGGTCATAGATACTTACTGCTCTTAATTAATTACTGCTTATAGTTAATTACTGATCATATTTTATAAATTGTCCGATTGTTCCTATGGCAACTATATATATGTATATATATAGTCCACCGATTCTCCATTTTCCGACTTATATACTAGTAAAATTGTATATAAGATTAACTCCATAGTTTCATTGAAATAGCTTGCTCCTAATTTTGTTCCAAAACAAATCTCACATTTATGTATGCACATATGATTCTCAACTGGTTCTAACATCCCCGGAACGAAGTGACTTCTACCAGCCAAGTCTCGGATTCGTGTTGTGTTATAAAAGTTGCAAGTCATTGTATATTAGTGTTTAAAGTTAGTAACTGATCATACTTACTTACTTATATGTAGATACTTACTGATCATAGTTACTAACTGGTCAGAGTTACTTAATGTTTTTTGATACTTACTTCTTTTGTTAATAACTGCTCTTAGTTATTTATTGGTCATAGCTAATTGCAGATTATAGTTACTTACTGGTCATGGTTAATTACTGATCATAGTTACTTAATGTTCATTGATACTTACTGATCATAGTTACTTACTGGTCATAGAAACTTAGATTAAAATACCCTGCAAGGGTATAAAAATAAAACTTGTACTCAATTTAAAAAACAAGTTTTCGCAAAATATGGCACAAATATACACATGCATTTTTGTGTGTCTCTATTTTTAGTGCTATTTTCCACAAATAATAATTACAAGCAGCTTGTTTTAGGCCATATTTTTTTATTCTACTTATTTCTAAAGTGTTCTAATTTAAGCAAAGTATCTCATTTCATTGGGAACCAAGCCTATTTATTTAAATTTTCCAACTTGTACTTGTCTTACTTCTTCAGAATTGAAAAAATATATGCATTTTTGTTGCAGTTGTCATCCTGCACCTTCTATTAAATGGCAACCACCGGTTGTGGTTCACGAGGAGCACATCCGCGAGAGTAGTCATCCGCAGCCATTGCCACCACCACCGCAACCGTCGATAATAATTAATGCAGCGGCCGCCGCCTCAAGTGGTCCAAATCTAGATTATCGTCATACTGAGTACGGGCCGCCTCCAGCACCTCCAGCTCCTGTAGCTTATTATCCAACAAATCCTCCAATTCTCTATCAAAGTCCACCTCCGACTCACTATCCAACCCACCCGCCAACGCCTTATCCCACTCATCCTCCAACGCCTTACCCAACTCCCTATACAACTCCATCTCCAACGCCACCTATTCCATCTCGTCAACCAGAAGAAAAATTGCCAAAAATACCAAGATATCCATCGAAAGAAGTCTACAGCGAGGAGGATTCTGGAGAGGATCCAGAGCCGGTACCTGAACCCGATGAAGATTTTATTAACTCCGATGAGCAGGGTGACTTCTTTGTTTTGAAACACCATCGTCACAGGAGACGGAAAAATCATAGGAAGAAATTCCGCAGAGGACCTCCAAAGATAGACTACGATGACGATGATTTTGTGGATTTTGCTGAAAGAAAATCCTTGAACACGAGGAATATGATCGAGGACAGCGTGGAGGGAGACGTATTCCAGTACGAGGATTTTGATCTGGACCCGGACACTATCTACCCTGATTCTGAGGAATCGGATACGGAATACCGAAATATTAGCTGGGTGCAGCCTCCCAAGGATGGACTCGTATTGCGGCGACGACGCATCTACTCCAAGTGGAGTCGATGGACCAGGTGCTCGCCCAAGTGTACCACCAGGAGATATAAGTAAGTTGGTAGGATTGTCATCCATTAAATCATTTGATTTATTTCTTTCCCTTGACCTCCAGAAAATGCCGCATTAGTGATCAGTGCGGACGAGAGGTTCTCCGGGAGATTGCCTATTGCTACACAGAGGGCAGCTTTTGCCAACAATGGCTGCAGACACAGTTCCAGAAAACGCCCGCCTTCGAGACCAGGCCGGGACCTGGCTCAGCAGCCAACGCCATGCGACGAATGCATTCGGTACAGCCGGAGGAGTCCATCAATGACTTGAACTACATAATGGCAGGCAAGGGTTACCGCGGACCCGAGTACACGCCGATGAAGCTGACCTGTGGTATTGTCCGATCCTCGGGACGCAGGAGTATGTCCAACATGCTAAAGATCATCGGTGGACGGGCATCGCGTAAGGGAGAGTGGCCGTGGCAAGTGGCCATACTGAACCGCTTCAAGGAGGCCTTCTGTGGAGGAACACTCATTGCTCCACGATGGGTCCTAACTGCCGCCCATTGTGTGCGAAGAGTGCTCTATGTTCGGCTAGGTAGGAATTTCTCTTGGGGAAATATTAGAATGTAGAATTATTTAATTATAAATATTATAATCTACAGGAGAACATAATCTGGATTACGAGGACGGCACAGAGGTGCAACTGCGGGTAATGAAGAGCTTTATACACCCCAACTTTGATAAGCGAACCGTGGATAGCGATGTGGCACTGCTCAGGTGAGTTTTAACTATGGAAACCTTTTAGTTTAGATGGAGATCCCACTAGTTAAAAGCTATAAAACGACCAAGGATGGACTCACTTGTGTTCTTATAAATCATAAAAGAACATTATATTAGAATGCAAAGATTTGTTGCCTACTTTTCAGCATTTTCAGCACAGGAAGTAGTATAACGAATGGGAGTTACCACAATAGTGAACACACCAGTTATCTTTCTTCTTTCTATTTACAAAATCCACAAATATCATCTATCTTCCAGGCTACCCAAGCCCGTCAATGCCACCAACTGGATTGGATACTCCTGCCTGCCGCAGCCTTTCCAGTCGCTGCCCAAGAACGTGGAGTGCACGGTTATTGGCTGGGGCAAGCGCCGCAATCGGGATGCAACCGGAACTAGTGTGCTCCACAAGGCCACTGTGCCCATAATTCCAATGAACAATTGCCGAAAGGTTTACTACGACTACACCATCACCAAGGTAATAGATTTGGTTACTAAAAAGTAAGTCAGCCCCTTCTATTCAGATTTTTCTTTCAGAACATGTTCTGTGCGGGTCATAAAAAGGGTCACATCGACACTTGTGCAGGTGACTCGGGTGGCCCACTTTTGTGTCGCGACACCACCAAGCCCAACCATCCATGGACCATCTTTGGCATCACCTCATTTGGAGATGGATGTGCCCAAAAGAATAAGTTTGGCATCTACGCAAAGGTGTCTAATTATGTTGACTGGGTGTGGTCGGTGGTCAATTGCAATGGCAACTGCAAGATGCAGTAGCTCCTTTGGGCTGGGGTGGGTACTTGGTAGTGGCGGACTCGAGTCCGTCTCAAGTTGCAGAGGCTGTGAAAATAAAAACTAATATATATACACTCTAAGTGTCTGATCACAATACATGATGTGCTCATAATTACGATCCTAAAGTTAGATAACTAGAAGTTATAAGAATAAATGGAACAAAGTTGGATTTCAAAATAGAGAAGAGCCAAATATTTATGTTTTTATATCCCTGAAAGACACCCATTAATTTCTGATGTTCTTTGGTATTAATTTTATATACATTTTCTTTGTAATATTCTGCTAATGTATATAATTCTGTTATCATAATTTAAACAAAAATTTGATATTAAAATAGGAATAACAAAAGGAAACCCACATAGTTAAAACCTCTTAGTTACAGATATTGCCCTTCACTCACTTATATATATTTTAAAACATATATATCTCTTTTAACAATAAGATAAACAGAGCTATTTGGTTAAGCGCTTTAAAAATTAATAGAAGAGATGCTTCACTTTAACGGTCTTAAGTTATTTGCGAACTCTGTACTGTAAATAATAATCGCACATTTTAATGAGCTTAATTTCTCTTAATAATATTACAAATAATTTAAAACGAAGAATACTCAAATAGAGAAAAAAACGTTTGCCTATAATGTAGTCAATAAATTCAGATAATCAAGAAAGGCAGCTTTGCTGGACCTACCAAAGATACACACAGAAATGTACTTTTACTTATTAGTTTATTATATTATTGGTGTTAAATGCTGCACAGTTTTGCTTCCACAATAAAACTATTTAACGTGATCCCTAAACACTTTCATTTCTCTTTTTTATCTACTACGAGTACACACATTGGATTATAAAAACAAACGATCACAAGAGAGAGGTGAGTGCCTAGGCACTTGCACATGCAAATAATGTATCCGTATAAAAAACATCTTTTCGTATAAAGAGCTACAAGATTGGCCTCGGCAATAGACTTGCCTACCGGTTGCCTAGGACGTAGTGCAGGGCCACGGATGACAGTAGAATCAGTAGGCCTACCGCAATGCCCAGCATGTACAGGCTGCGCGATAGCTCTGGCTTTGGCATCGAACTGACCAGAGTCCGGGAATCGTCTGTGCGATCAACGCCTGCATTTGCACCGTTGGCGAAGTGCGAATCATCCGGCAGTCCCTCGGCCTCTACGGAAATGGTCTCCGGGTCCAGATCTACGTCCAGAATTTGTTTGGCCTGCGCCACCGCCACCGTGGGTGCTTCTCCGCGGAACAGATATTCCGAGAATTGTACCGTTGCGCCGGGAGATGTGCTCTCCGTGGGTAGGCTGAAGAACACCCTCCTCGGGGGCTCGCTTACGTACAAGGCTTCGTTGCTTACATATGTATCCGTGAGGCCATCGCAGTAAACTTGAATACGTGTGATGAGGGAGCGCAGGATGTCGTCCCGCAAGAAACGCTTCACATCCGCTATACTGTTCCGTGGACTACAGAAGACCTTCGAAGCAATGATGCCGCTCATGCGGAGTGTGCCCTGGAATTCTCGCACCTTGATGTCTGACGGCTTGCTCAGCTGGCACTTTACCGGGAGCACTACGCTCGCCCGGATGGAGTCCCCGCCGCTGATAATTCCTGTATCTGAGGCCAGATCCGTCAGGGAGTCCGCGGCACTGCTGCCCGCCGAGCCTGAAGCACCACTCGTGGATGAGGGTTTGCTTAGTTTGTCCCCTTTGGTACGTTTCTTCTTGATGTACGCCTGCAGATCAATAGTATCTTCTACGATCTCGTTCTGGAGGAACACCTCGCTGGCCAGCAGATTCCTGCGCACCGCCTTAATAATGTTCTGGAACTGATCCTCGATGTTGACGCGTCGCGACGCATGCAGTATGGGCAGGACATCGTCCAGATCGTAGGTGCTCTCTAGCTGAATCCACTCGAAGGGCTTGTCCACAAACCTGTGATCCATGTTGGAAAAAGTGCCGCCACTATGTTCGGAAGGAATAACAAGCATTAGTTGTGACAAAACGATGCTTAAAATACAAGCAAAACTACCATTTAATAACAAGAACAATCCGAAAGGATATTTACTAAACACATAAAATGCATTCCGAGAAATGGGAAACGTAGGGAAGGACGAGGGAAGTAAGTAAGTGATTTAATAACATTAAACATTAACTATAGTTTAGGGAAATACTTCTCAAACATTGTTAGTTACCATATGATGCATTTTATGTTTGCCGTAAAGTACGTTTTTTTGCAATGTCTAAATGTTTTACAAATTTGTAAGCAATTGGTATTGTTTTTTTTTTTTTTGGTGAAAAGAGAGAATACGTAGAGTGAGTTTATAGACCCGTACCCGTATCTGCCATGAAGGATTTAAGAATCAAAGCAATACTTACTTGCCATAGCTATAATTCTTGCAGAGCAGCTTCTTGTCGGCCAGCGAATACGCGAGGAATACGAAATCAGTCTGTGCAATGTCGGTGGTGTACACACCAAAGGAGCTGTTGCTTTTTAGGAGCAAGCTGGAAGGAAATAGTTTGTTTTATTACTAAATATGTATAAGTAAATATGGTTTAATTTGTTAGCAGACACTTACTCGTAAATGTCGGAAAACAGCTTTTTGGCATTCTTAAAATCGCTGCTTTTCTCATTTGACACATCTGGGCTTGAAGATGATACAAAAATGCCTGTAAATAAGAAAGGGAATTAGTATAATCTATACATATTCTTGGCTATAGAACATGGGCTTTTTGAAATAGTAGTATTGGTCCTAAATAAGGTCTCAGCTTGCGGAAAAAATCCATTAAAATGAAATAGTTAATATATAATTCAATATCAACTAACCGCTATATTGAATAGGCTTATAACTCATATTATTTTCTAGATAAACTTCTTTAAAGACTTTAAATTACAGATATCACCAAGAATGTCAAAGAATAACTCATTTTAGCTTAAGAGTTAAGCGTTTATTTGTCACAAATTAAGTTTGGGATTGAATAAAGGAATCATATTGCATTATGACTATTAATTGCTTAGTAAAATATATACGAAAACTGTATAAGTTCAAATATTTTACCTACTTTACTATTTTCACGCCACATATATCTTTATCTATCCCTGGACTATGAAACCAATCTATTGGCGATATTAACTGGGGTCACAGGAAGGTATACAAATATGTAAAATAGTAATATAACACCCTGGAGCTGCACACACGCAACCAAAGGCAATCCCATAACCCACCGATGACGTCAAAGGAGCCAGGACACATTTTACTGGCGCTCAGCCACTGTGAGGCCAACGCCTGTGAGTTTATATCGCCGATGGTGAGGCGTACGTCGGTCAGATCCTCCAGGTCGGCATCCTCCTCATTGTTCCGGGCCAGATGCACCACAACGCTCTTGGTGAGGTCCGCTTGCTGCCGATGCAGATACAGATCGAAGGGATATATGTGCCATTAGAGAGTGTTTGTTGATCGGGGGGCACAGGGAGCACCAAACAAATCTACGTGGCGGAAATCGGTACTTACATGGCCCACAATGATGCCGTACGAGAACTGGTTCTCCTGTGCGCATTTCTCCAGGTACACTTCGTCCGCTTTGCTCAGTAGCACTGTGCGCATTTTTAATGCTATCTTGTTCGCCTTAATTTAATGTTAACTAAATTCGTTCGACCAAAACGAATATTTTTTGTCAATTTTGTGATTAGTGTGGCCGTGCCGCAGCGGCTTTATTTAGGGTCACGTAAACAAGCTATCGAAGGCGCAGAATATTCTTATCGATATTTATCGGTAGCTCCTGGGCGTCTCTAGAAAAACCGTTGAAATTGAAAAGCCTAGTGAAAGCCTTTAAGGTTAAATTTGTTAATTGAATTGTTATTTCTAAACAAATTGGTTTAAAATGTTAAGCTCTAAGATATATTATTCTTATTCTTATTCAAATATAATAATTTAAATCACAAAACAATCAATTTTGTACTATATCACTTTTGAACTTTTATCTAGACAAATAGAAAAATTAATGTTGGGTATTTTTGCGGTTTAAAAATATGAATTAATTAAATTTAAATGGTTAATTTTCATCTTTCATTTTATAACTAAAAATATGAATTCATTTTTAAAAGGTGAATAAATGGCAGTTTAAGTATAAAGTATACAAAAAGCCTGAATGACTTAGGGCTTATGCTTTTAAATGCTTTAATATATTGTACAAATAATTAAAACCTCTGAAACACATGAATTTAGTTGCAAATTTATATAAAGGTAAAATATGGTAAATTGATGTACAATTTCCCTTAAATCACACTCTCAACTTTAATCACTTTCTCGCAACTTAAGTGATTATTATTCCTAATCTTAATTTACTGCAATCAACTGATCAAGACTTAATTTACCTCCATGCGGCTCTTGGGCGATAAAACCTCTTGGCGACTTCTTCAATTAAGCGTCCAGAGATCGATCGAGACATAGCTCCGGCTGCACTGCATCTTCATCTCCATCTGCATCTGCTGCCGTGAAGCGATTACGCACGAGCGGAGAGTGGACTCGATAAGTGGGGGATCTGTGGAGAGGAGATCTCGATCTCCTCCAGAGGTCTTGTGCCTTGTGTGCCAGTGCCACCCAAATGGTCAAGTGATCGACGGACTATGGCGCGAACGGACGCGATCGGTAATCGAATTAGGTAAACAAACACTCCATGAGGCGGGCGTACGTTGATAATGTGTGTGCATAAGCAAATGGGAGACGACGGTGTTCCCTAGGAGGAGCGGAGGACCTAGCCGAGATTGCGGCGGCGGCGATGACGGGCGAAAAAGTTAAATGAAATTTCATTTAGGTGGTCGCCAACGGCTGTGGAGACCATCTGCTCTGTGTGAATGCTTGATTGTTGAAGTGCCACTCGATGGGGCGCGAGGGCGCACGCTACTCGCCACGGCTCAACACTGAGCGAAAATGCCATCTCAATTGGATTAGGATATTAATTAAATAAGGTTTTTCTGAAAATATAACAGAAATAACCTTCAAGTTACCTATGACATATGTTATTGCTTTGATTGAAGATCTGGACGAAATACCAGTAAGATCTTTAAGCAATATTTAAAGAGTTTAAACTTCCGTTTTTTTATAGGAAGCAAAATTATATATTAAAACCTTTCATACCCTCTTGTTCTCAAAGTGCAGTGATCGGTATACAGATCTTATTTACTTAGTAAATTATTCCTGTTCGATTGTTTGCGTTTGCTCTGGATCTCTGGCATGAGGGCACTCGAACGTCATCGTCAGCAGCGTTCATTCATGATTTGCCTTTCACAAATCGGAATCAAAGATATATATGTTCACAAATGTGGAGGTATCTGCAGCATTGTGCACTTTGCATTCGAACAGACAAATAAATACAAAGGCAGTTCTGATCAGCTTAGTGAGACATCTCATTATCGCCAGGTGAGTTCTACGTGGCCGGATTTCTTTTCTGTAATTTCTTGTGATTTCTTATGATTTCTCTGTGACTCTTTCCCATCCCGGAATCGTTTCGGGTAATTGCTTTTTAACTCGGCATTCAGCTTTCAGCTTTCAACTTCCCATTCTCTGCAGCGCCGGGAGCCACTCGTCAATTCGTGGGCTTTGATGCAATTTGGCTTCTGTGTAAGCCACTCTGCCATTTGGAGGCATCCATCTCCTGCTCCTCTCGGTGTCCTGTCCTGTGTGGCGCACCGATCACGCCATGTGTAGTTTAGTTGCAGTTTCGATTCACATCGGATTGCCTTGCCCAGGCAGCGCATCAATCATCCATCACGCACCGTCAGAGACAACGACCCAGAGGAAGAGAGAGAGCACAGAACAAACCGGAATGCAAAACCCATTATCCAAGGTTGCCCCACGGATTTAATGGGGATTCAATCTTGGTTGGCGTTTGAATATTTCGCGAATCATGCTTTATTTAGCACATATAAAAGTTGTAAAAATATGAATTATGACTGCTGGTGGTTTTGATCTTTTGGCGAAAGAAACCATAAGCTTCCCGTAATGGTTTTAATATTGTAATCAATAATCTAGCATTAGTGGTAAACTTTCAAAAACATCTATATATCTTCCATAAGCAGTGGTTATTAACATTAATTACACATTTTTATTCGTTATTAGCTGAGCAAATAATAGTCGATAAAAAATCATATCAAAGTAAATCGTAATATTGTTTTACATAAACAAACTCAAATGGGACAGCTATGCTCTTCTATGAATATAATCGTTAAAAAGGTCTTAAGTGGTTAATTTTTGTGATTGCTTGGCAGGGTATCATAAAGGAGCCTGGAAAGGATTAAAATATAATGGCTACATACCAAATTTGATGAAAATCTGTTGAAAACTGGAAAAGGTTACATTTTTTCTTAAAATTTTCCAATGGCAACTATATATATGTATGTATATATATAGTCCACCGATTCGCTATGCTCCGACTTATAGACTAGTAAAATTATAGAAGATTAACTCCATAGTTTCATTCTAATAGCTTGCTCTTAAATTTGTGCCAAAACAAATCTCGCACACATGTGCATATGATTCCCAATTGGTTCTAACATTCCCGGAACGAAGTGACCGCTACCAGCCAAGTCTCAGACATGTGTTGTGTTACAAAAGTTGCAAGTCATTGTTTAAAGTGTTCAAAGTTAGTAACTGATCAAACAAACTAACTAATTGTAGTTACTTACAGGTCATAGATACTTATTAATCATAGTTACTTATTGGTCATAGATACTTACTAATCAAAGTTACTTACTGGTTGTAGATATTTACTGTTCAGAGTTACTTGCTGCTCATAGTTACTTAGTGTTCAGAGTTACCTAGTTTATTACTTATCATAGTTACTTACTGGTGATAGTTACTTATTGTGGAAAGATACTTACTGATCCTCTACATTTAACAACCCTTTCTCTGACAGATATATTATAAAGCAAAACTAAGTACGAAATTCTATAATAATATAAGACAAAGAATCAAATTAGATAAAATATTATATTATAAAAGTTTTATACCCTTGCAAAAATGATTTAAAAATATTTTAATTAAATTTTCTATGTTAAATAAGCAAATGCAAAATTGGCAAGCATCTCTGGGTATTCTTGTCAATATGTGTTAATTATAATAATAAGTATATGCAACTGGACCTTTCAGAAATTAACTCGAGGTCATAGTTTTGCGTTACAGAATCTATAAATAAATGCTAGCAAAAAAGCTAAATATAAATCAGCATGTGCATTAATGATTACAAATGCTACATAATTAGATCCAAAATGAATACCATCAATTAGTGTGGTAAATTGGGAATTAGCTGCACTTAAAGGTTGAATTCTAACGCCCAGTGTCCAAAGTTGATTTGTTGTAATTCCAAAACAAAGAACCGCGGCTTCCCCAACTTTTCTTCTTCAGCTTCTTCTTCTTTGCCTCCAACTCTCTATCTTTCTCTCTTTCTCTCTGTCTCACCCCACTCTGTCTGTCGCTCTCTGCCTTTTGCTTGTGTTTATACTTAGCGCAGCGCCAACGAGTTTATAATTGTTTGATTTGTGTGCGCGCACACACAAGGCAGTGTGAGTCAGTGCATATAGTCGTCCCGCTCGCACCTGGGCCAGAGCGAGAGGCAGCCAGCGGACGCGCAACGGCCGCCATTATGAATGTGCGACATCCGGAAACCGGTTGGCGGCTGACCAAAACTCACTCATTCGTTGAGTGGAAACCAATGGCGAGTGGAGTGGAGCAACCCGGTCTGAAAACCAAGCAGCGCTCATTGTGCTAAGACAGCTTTCGGCGTGAACAACGTTCCAACGGCTCCGCTCCGTCGAAAAAAAAATAATTGAAAAAAAAAAATCAAAAAGAGAAACAGGAACGTTTTCTAACTGTTTCTGTCGGGATCGGTGCCGCTCTGTGTATTTGTGTGTGAGTGTGCTTGTGAGCTATGAATCGAATTGACCGCATTGCGTTTTCATTTCCGTTTCCGGCCGCAAACGTTACTTCTTCGCCGTTGAATGTGCGACATCTGTGACTGTGATTGTGACTGTTTAGTAACTGCTTTCGCGTGTGTTCGCAAAAGAGCGATTGGCAACAAGATAATAAATAAATACTAAATAACAATAGAGGCAAAATCGATTAGCGCGATTAACAGACATGTTGATTGAGCCGACTTTAAACCGTGACCTTGGCTCGCTTACTGTCGCTAACTCTGGCCTCTCGGCCGCGCACTGGAAAATGGAGCCCCATCCGCAGCAACGCATCACCTCGCTGGCCCCCCATCCCGCCTCCAGCGGTGAGTACTTAGTGCTTAGTTCGAGAGCCTAAAAAGGGCAAACCCACCTGACAAACTACTTACCTGACCTTAATTAGCCGACGGCAAGCAAGGCGCAACCAAAAGCAGCAAAATATTTATGTTTCTAGTGGAAAAATAATGTAAAATTAATCCTAATATGACAACGAAATCCTGAAGGGAATATAGGTCATAAACATGGTGCCAAAACTCAAGAACTTCAGTTTTATTGCACAGGAAATTCGATGTCCAAAAGAAGCATTTACTTACTAAATATCTTGAATTACGTGTTGATTTCTTTTTAAAGAAGCGGTCCTATTTACAAAATTTCACTGTATATATTTGTTTTATTGTTTAGAAACGCAGGTATTACTTTAATTAATACTTAAAACATCTGTAAATAAATTGGAAGATAAATAGGTCAACAAAATCATTTTGTACTGTAAAATTAAACCGCATAGAATAATAATTACTTCTCAAATATATATATTACTTAAAGAATAAACCACTTGGAGAAACAAAATGATTCATTAATAATTAGACCAACATTTAAATTATTAGGGATAAAAACTAATAAAATATAGTTTGCAAAGGGAAATAGATATGATTTAATAGATATAATTTTGAATATTAGAAGGCAGTTATGTAAAAAGTCATAAAAGAAATAAATAACTATTTATTTTTATTGTCAAATTCAATTACATTACACATTTTATGGTACTTACAGACATTTAAAATACAGTAAAAATATTTAAATAGCTATAAACTGTATCACAATTGTTTTTTTAGAAAGACAATATTTAACGAAATTAAAATGACAAAAAAGTAATATAAAATTATATATAACTATTACCTAATATTATTAATTTATTAACCCCAAAACCCATGAAAAAGTTTACGGCATATTTGATAATTAATTTATAATTACTATATCCAATAACAGAAGTACTAAATACTGCATTTCACTCAGTTAATCATAGGTTTTGCCTCTTTAGAACACTGAAAACCAGAAGCTATTATAAACCAAAATCTATATTATAACACAGAGACACATCGATGTTTCTTCCTTTTCTGCTTGCTTAAATGTTTAATTTCATTAAACACAAACCCAACTCGGATGTCATAATATCGAGTGCGTGGCTCCAGTTGCCAGCAGTCCCAATTTCCCTGCTTTTCACCTTTCTGGCCCCCATAGATGGAAAAGTAAACAAAACTGGTTCGCATTTGATGAGAGCGACAGCGGCACAATTGATTAGGTGCCGGAATATATATATCTATATAGTCATTTAGGGACGAGGTGAGGTGCGCGTATTTTTTAAAAAATATTTACCCGGCAAACAACAAAAGTGAAACGCGCATTTAAAACGCTAATTGACAATTTGAGCGACGAGGTTGCTGCTTAAGCCGAATAATGATATATGTACATATGTTTTCATTGTTCCCCGCTTAATTTAAAATTTTTTTATTTTTAAGTGAAAGCAAATACGCGCCGAATTAACGTAATACACAGCACTCTCTGCCCCAGCTGAGTACATATTTTAATTTTTCGGCTTTTGTGCTCGTGCCCGTCGTTTCAATTAGCTTCGATAAATCCAATCCCCGCGCCAGGAGATACGCTTGCGTGTCTGCCGCCATTTTGGCAATCGAGTGTATATAGTATACTGTTTGTATATATATAGTATATAGCCATCAGTCATTCCAGATCAGTCAACACAATTAACGGTTAATTTATCATAATTAACCATTGTAGCCTGGACTTGACAGCCAGCTAAAGCCACAATATAATGACAATGGCCAATTATCATTCAATTCGTTCAATTCTCAGTAGCGGCGGCATCCGTGGCAGCAGCAGCAGCCGCAGCAGTGGCAGCGGCGGCGGGAGCGGGATCGGTATCGGTATCCGGACCGGGATCGGGGGCCTCCACATCGCCCACATCTGTGCAAATACCGCCCGGCTTTGGCGGCACCGCCGGTGCACCGCCAGCTGGATCGACGGGGAGCAGCACCCTCAACACTCTGATGTCGCAACACCGCCTCCTGGAGTTCTCCCGCTTTGGGGGTCTGCGGGGATACGACATTGCCCAGCACATGCTCACACAGCAGGGCGCTGTCTCCAAGTTGCTAGGTGAGTACAACACACATCACACATCGCATCCCTCTCTGTGCACGGTCCCTACATCGGAGATAACTAATGGGCACTTTGTTTTCGATTTGTTTGCTAATTTTTATGATAAACATGTTATTATCCTGCAACTGCCAGGCCAGGCTTCAATTCGAGTTTGAGTTCGAGTTCGGGTTTCCCCCTTGTTCTCGTGTGCGCAGCCGTGTAATTTAGCCACTTAAAATTGCATAAACTCCTGGGCTGCGGCGGTGGCCAAAACGCGGCTGGCTCATTAATCAAAATGCGGCTTATTCGCAGGCTTGTACGGGATATAAGGGGGGTTGGTCTTGGTGCGTGCTCTTGTTGCACTAAGAAAAATGATGGCTTTTTACCAGGATTATGCGAAGGAAGTTGTTATGAAAGTGGGGTTAATATATCTCTAAAATTATAATAGGATGAGGGGTTGTTTGAGTTTAAATCAAATTAGTTAAGAAAGAGTTTTCAATAGGCAAAATATGTATAAATATTTTCATATTTATTTAGACAATTAACCAACCATTATAACTGCTTTTCAAAAAGCCCAATCTCCACATTAAATAGAAGGATGTAACTTATTTAAAAACCCTTTTTTTTTGCCTTGGAATTCAGTTCATATCCCAGTAAATGAAACGCTCAAAACGCATTAAATTTATATTAATACAATATCAAATATTTATACCATTAAAAGATTAGATATCCTTTTTAAAATATTCTATTTAACTTTAAAATGGGAAACTTTAAACATTACTATTTTAAGTTGTTAGTTCTATAGCATAATATAAACTTCAATAAAGAAATGCAAACCATATGAAACTGGGGCTTAGAAATTATAGTTTCTTATATTATAATAGTAATAAAATGAGGAATCTTCCTGCTTTTTCTCAGTGCAAACTATTCCCTCTTATTTCACTTCCACCACACTTCACATTGATGTGGCAAAACTGATAAAGATATTAAAAACAAAAGGGGATAAGCCATGTTAAGGATGATCGAAACATAAAGATGAATTGCCGAAAATCGCAGCTCACAGATAGCCATAAATCGATTGTCTCATAATTTTCCCTCTGCGCTCTGCTCTAATTTTTATCTTGCAGGCTCACTGCGACCACCGGGCTTAATTGGTGGCTCAAAGCCCAAGGTGGCCACGCCGACGGTCGTCTCCAAGATCGAGCAGTACAAGCGCGAGAATCCGACGATCTTTGCCTGGGAGATACGCGAGCGCCTGATCTCTGAGGGTGAGTAGCAGTAGGATGGCCAAGATATAATTGGAGCTAATCCGGATGGCTGATTGATCGGCGGCCGCTTTTAGCTTTTATCTCGATCCGTTTGGTAATTTGTGCCTTGTGTAATCCCGCCTTGCAGGTGTCTGCACCAATGCCACCGCTCCATCGGTGAGCAGCATCAATCGCATCCTGCGCAACCGCGCCGCCGAGCGGGTGGCCAGTGAGTTTGCCCGCACCGCCGCCTACGGGCTTTATCCGCCGCCCCCGCATCCTTATGGCAGCTTCACCTGGCATCCGGCTGGCCAAGTGCCCGGTGGCCAGGCGGTTCCACCTCCGCCACCCCCATCCGCTTTGTGGTCTGTGGCCGCTCCAACGTTGGCAAATCTGCCGCCCAGTGCGGCAAGTGCGGTGCCATCGCCTGGCTGTGGTTCCCTCAGCTCCGCTCATCTCATGGCAGGTGGTGCTGGTGGCGGTGGTGGTTTAGGGGGATTGCCCTCGAACAGGGCCATCTCACCCGGCTCCGGGAGCCACGACACTTTGGAATCGGCGGATGAGAACAGGCACATTGATTCGGATTATCTGGACGATGATGATGAGCCCAAGTTTCGGCGCAATAGGACCACCTTTAGTCCAGAGCAGCTAGAGGAGCTGGAGAAGGAGTTTGACAAGTCACACTATCCGTGTGTGAGCACCAGGGAAAGGCTCTCAAGCCGCACCAGCTTAAGCGAGGCCAGAGTTCAGGTAAGCAGTAGTATATTATATTTATACCCTTGCAGGGTATTATAATTTCAGTCAGAAGTTTGCAACGCAGTGAAGGAGGCACCTCCGACTATATAAAGTATATATATTCTTGATCAGGATCAACAGCCGAGTCGATCTAGCCATGTCCGTCTGTCCGTCTGTCCGTCTGTCCTTCTGTCCGTCTGTCCGTTTCTACGCAAACTAGTCTCTCAGTTTTGAAGCTATCTGAATGAAACTTTGTAGTTAGCCTTCTATATACTCTCACTCGTATATATGTCGGAACGGGCCGGATCGGACGACTATATCATATAGCTGCCATAGGAATGATCGTAAAATTTTTACAAAAAAATTTTTAACTTTTTCAGTTTTCAATAGAATTAGATCAAATTTAAGATATAGCCATTTTACTATACTCTACAATTTTGTGTAAAATTTTATGAAAATCGGACTAATATATCATATAGCTCCCATAGGAACGATCGAGAAATTAATACAATTAAATTTATAACTTTTTCAGTTTTCAGCTGATTTTCATCAAATTTAAGGTATAGCTATTTTATGTTAGTCTTAAATTTTGTGTCAAATTTTATGAAAATCGGACGACTATATCTTATAGGTGCCATACAAACGATCGTTTGATGTAGAGGAAAAATGCAAATCTGTGTATGTAAAACTGCAAATATAATATGTATAGGTGAATGAAATGAAAGCAGCTATTACTTCATTGTTTTTTAATACAAATATATATAATTTATATTGTATGGTTTCCTATTCATAGAAGTTCTATCTGCAAGGGTATATAAACTTCGGCGTGCCGAAGTTAGCTTTCTTTCTTGTTTTTAAATATTTTAAATCAAATTTTAAGAGCTTACTTTGAAATATATATTTTCTATTACCTTAATTTTCAACCTGGAATTTCTTTCCTTATCTCTTCGCCAGGTTTGGTTCTCGAATCGACGGGCAAAGTGGCGTCGTCATCAGCGAATGAATCTCCTGAAGCGCCAGCGTTCCAGTCCCGCGAATCCCCTGCACTCGCAGCAGTCCAATGATGCTCCAGCAAGTTCGCCCACACCTAGCAATCATAGCAGTGCCTCCACTTCGGCTGCAGTGGCTCCTGCTCCGCCTCCCCAGCAACCGTTGCAGCTCTGCCCCTCGGATCACTCACCGCAGGCTCCACCGCCATCGGTTATGTTGCATCCGTTGCATCCAGGACCTCCCGGTGGCGGTCACCATCACCATCATCCCCTGCATCTGCCCACGCATCCGGCGGCCCTGCAGCTACTGAGTCACTATCACCAGCAGCAGCAACATCAGCAACAGCAGCAGCAGCAGCAACAGCAGCAACTTTCGCCCACGGGCTGCAATCCTGGGGCAAGCCACCTGACAATGGGCGGGGAAAGGAGTGCCTTCCGCAGCCTGGTCAGCTCACCCTCGGCAGCTGCCTTCCTTGGACTGGCCAGACAGTATGCCGTGGCCGCCTCTTTGACGGTGGCCGAGGAGCAACGTTCCCGATTGCATTATTCCGCCGGTGTGGGACTAAGTGGAGCTGGTGCTGGTGCTGGAGCTGAGGGAGCAGGATCGGGCAGCGGATTGGGCGGCAGTGGCTCAACCATGACGGTGGACAACTCATCGTCCGACTCGGATGAGGAGATCAACGTGCACGACGATTCGGACGCTGAAATCGAATCGCCGGCGGCAACGGCGGCAAAGGTGGCCCGCCTGTCATCCTCCGATGCGCCGACAACGCTGCAGTTCCTAAAGCATGACCGCTAGAGAGGGATGTCGATGTGGATATAGATGTGAATGGGTTAGATGCACATGGGGCTATGGATGTGGACGTGAACGTGGCGGCGACATCTAATTGAAAACTTGAGTTGTGCGCGCCTCTGTGATTGACAGCAGCGGCAGTTGAAATTGCAACTGCCTGGGGTCTGGGATGGGTCGGAGGGCGGTGCGTGTTTGGGTATTGAAACACGAGAAGCGGCTACATTGTGGGCAAAAAACAAATCGAAAAACCAAAGTTAAAATGCTGCTCACCTACTTGGCTGCGGTCCGGGGTCGGTCGCTGGAAGCAACAGCAGCAGCAGCAACAGCAGCAAAACTAGCAAAACCTTCACTGGCCTGCATAAGTTTTGGGAGCAATAATGGGTTGTACTTGTTTTCTACAATACATTGGTGCTTAAATTAATTACTGATTAATTACTTTGGATTTTCTATTTAAAAAAATAGTTTAGAAGAATTCTAGGGAAATTTGTTAATTGTAAAGCTTTGTAAAATATAACAAAAGATCTTAAGACTCAGTCTCAGATTAGCAGTACATTGAATTTGCCTCCAAAAAACAATATTCAAACTTTGCAGGCCAGTGTAATGGGCGGCATTTGTGTGTGGACACGCTTAAGATTAGCTGGAAATTGTAACTAATACTACATACGACACCCGCTTGTCCCATTTTAATGCACATATCAACATACAAATCCCAACTGAACACGAACACGAATCCGCATACGTACGTACCCTCGAGTTATGCATAATTATTATTATATTTGTTCATTCGCCGGCTGCCGACTGCCGACTTACCTCATCACCATTTAAGGCTATAGCATATGCAATATATCTCTATATATGTATGTAATTGTAACTCTAAATCTTAGACCTAGGCCTAAGCGATCTATTTATGAAATGCGTATTACGTAAGAGTTTTGGTTGCGTTTGAACTGATAACTTTGTAGAGTATTGTAAGTGTTTGGCTCAAAAATCAAAAAAACACAAATCAAAGAAATACCAACTCCACACGAGTGAGAAACCAATATAAACAAAAAGTGCAAGAAATACATATAAATATAAAATATAGTATATAAATCAATTTGTGTGTTTTGCTTTCTTTTGAGAACCAGGAAATTGCTTTGGTTTTGACAACAAATACAATTTATTCGTCCGATTTCACGCATAATTATCCATTCTAAAACAGTGACGGAGACAAAAAAAAAACAAAAACACGGCCGACCGACGGGCATAAATAAGCATTTAACACTCGAAAGCTTCTTAAAACGTTATTAAATATTAATATAATCAATATTCATTGTGTGTGAGACCCAAAGGAGAGAGACCAATAGAAATGCCGAATGAAATCGAAATCAAAATCGAAATCAAAAACCAAAATACGCGCATAGAAATCGCTTAAATTTCGAACGTAATGGCCAATATGTCCAAATCTGGTAGATAACATCGACATTTTAATTATAACCAAATGAAGCCGCATCGACCAGGAGGAGGTGGAGGTGGAGGAGGAGGAGAATGGAATGGTAAAGGTAAAGGTATAAGCAAAGGTATCCAACAACTGACCGATTAAAAATGCCGAGCCAAACTAAGCACATAAATCAATGTAAATTATGGTGTTAACAAAAGGCGAGCCGAGCGCGCTCAAATCGCAGGCTTTGGATGGGATCGAATCGGATCGGATCGGATCGTTGACTTTTTTAGGTTGGAACCAGGTGGTGGATGAGGCTCTCTCTCCCTGCCTGTGGTTGTGAAGCAGGGATTTAAATGAGTTGGACCTCTGCATCTGATAAGAGGAGCCAGCGTGGAGCTCTTTCGTGTCGATACTTACAACTCCAGGTTGGGATTCGGTATTCGGGATTCGGTATTCGGGATCCGGGATCCGGGATTGGGAGTGTGAAGATCGGGTGACGGTGCTCCGAACAAATTCAATTTGCTTGGCTTTTTATGAGCAAATGGTTGACCCCATCCCCAGTCCCGACTTATTCTAATTTAGTGCGGAGCTGCTCGTGAGCATTCCTTTAATAAATTTAAATCACCTTCTATTGAAAAATATTTTCACCTCGCGCCCATAAATTATACATTATACGATATTTATACAGTCCGAAAGGCACAAACATATATGTATATGAGTTTAAGTTTTTATTTTTTTCTCTTTTGGGTTTGGGTTTGGGTTCACGGGTATTCAGTGGTTTCGTTTAGGTTCCAGTTTTGATTCCATCAACCTCCTTTTTGTTTTGGCAAGGATTGGCTGCCAGTCGGAGTTGATGGACTTTGGGGCTAAAGTGGCGCTCTCATGAGCGCCATATAATCGCAGTCAAACATTTTTACGATCACTCCAGTCAGCCGGCCTGCACAGCATCTCCTCCGAGCTGATCAGTTGGCCACTTGATGAGTCCCGCCGTGTCCTCCTGGAGAGGGAGACCGAGATTGTCCCGGACAACATTGTTGCCAAATGTTTTGTGGCCCGCCGTTGGCTTTGAGCAGTTTTTATTGTTTCGGTTGGCGGAAATCGATGAACTTTACCAAGGCTCCATCTATCCTGATCCATCTGTGCACTGGAAAAACTATGGGGGAGAGTTGGGATAAATTAAAAGGATGAGAATGTTTTTTGGTGGAGGTATTTGAAAGTATTTATTATGTAATTATAAGGGAGTTTGATAGACAAGAAATGACTTAATGTGGCTTATTCTATTTAAAGTCCTATATGTAGGTGTATTAAATATTTTCCTATCATTTAAATTATAGTTAGTTTATATTCCTTTCTGGTTTGATTAATTAATTAAATTCTGTTGTTTGTGCCAGATTTTTCTCCCAGTGCAATCTCCAGCTATGTGGGGCTCCTTGGGTAAGGAGCCGGTGATAAATCTGTTGGCGAGCCGGCGCAACATTGCCATTGCATACTTCTAAATGGACCATAAACGTGCGAAGTCGCAACACCAGCAATAACTAAAGTTAGTTACGTTTACTAATATGACAACAATGTTGTCTTTCGGCCCTATTCCCCTCCTCCCTGGGGCCCCCGTTGATGCAAATGTGAGCGAACCAGTGCCAGTGATGGTAAGAAGGTAAGACCCACGGACTGAATATCATTCCCAGATTGTGAATGGGTGTCGTTATTCTGCCATTATGTTTACGGCTTGCAAAAACAAATACGTCAAAATATGCGAGGCACAGACTCCCTCTCTGGGTACCTTGGAACCTAGAAACCTCCTCTTGTCCCTCGACAATCAAACACGCAAAAGCAATTAAGTGGCGCGGAACCATGGTTTAAGGGATCTGCAATTATAGAATGTATTTTTGCATATTTTTTTTATTTATTTTTAGAGTCTTAAAAACTATTGCTAAATACACAACATTATCGGGAATTAGTAAATATAAATAAGCTGTTGTTTTGCCGGCTACCGATAATATGAAATGACTTGGTTTTGAAGTAGCCGTGTATATACAACCAGTATTTGCAATAGGTAAAGGTGTTTTTTAAAGGTAATTACAAATATTCAATTTATTTTTAATTGTATATTACGAAATTAGGTAAAATAATTTCAAATATATTAGGTAGAAAAACAATTTTCAGGGGAAATATAAAAATAAATCGTAGGGAGAAGTAAGCTGCTCAGAAACGAATCCTTATTAAGGATCGAGTGAATCCCTTTTAGAAAAGGGAAGATGCTTTGTTAAAATAGGTCTAAAACATTAAAAAAATTAGATTAATAATAAAAGCTAATATAAATTAAATATTTACTTTAAACATCCCCTTTTATAATTAAAATGTTCTCTAACTTGAATAATTTTTACGAATTCCTGACCCAAAACTAAGTGGTTTCGCTCTAGAAACTCATTTGAGCTACAAATTACTTATCGGTTTTCTATATACATACATATATTCCGAGGTACGTCTGTCTGTGAAACATGTTCGGATGTTATTGAAATACTTGAGAGAGTCTGGCCGACCATTCGACTGATTTATGTCCAAACTTAAATGGTCACAATGGCGATTCGGATGACCCGGCTCCAGGTATTCCTCCCTGTCTCTCTGTTAATGAGCCGAGCGATTAAAAAATGTGCATTTGTGTTTGTCCGCTCCTTAAATGAGCTCGAGCTTTTAACGCGCAGCCATAGATCAGAGGGGTTACGGCTTCAGGGGTTACGGGTTACGGGTTGTGGAGGAGCTATGGGTTTGGGGAACAGATTTCAGGGGCGGAGACGAAGTGATTTTGTCTCGTTGTCATCTCATTTGGAATTGGGCGATAAGACAAATTTGTTTTCTTTGTTTATAACTTTATGCAGATACAGGTTTCGGTTTCGAATGCGCTCCTCCAACGGTCATCTTCCACTCATTTCGGATCCCCAAACTCAACCTACTGTATAAAATCTAAAAAAAACCAAGTTTACTGGCAAACCTTTGATGTACAGTGAGCTGGGATGTGAGAAGTTTGTGACACAGTTCTATAAATAAAGATATATAGATATATACATATTTTAAATATAAAAAATATTTGAATATTTCATGTAAACAGTTTGAGGCAATTTATTTTTTGAAACTTATTGGGAAATAAAGCAATGAAAATGTAGCATATATTTTCTTAAAGTTGTTAAGACAATATAAGATAAATTTGTAGACTGAAAATTAAATTACTATTATATATTTTGATGACTTAAATAAATAAAATTTGTACAAATTAATTAGTATTATGATTATCCTTTTAACACATAAGTAAAGTCTTAACACTATTTTATAGATGTTTAAGTAGAATCAGATCACTTGCTTTCTTAAAACATCTCAACATTATATTTTCCTTTCCACAATTCCCCAACATTTAACCACTGTTCAGAGGTTTTTTGGAATAGAGTTGGTATACTTAATCTTTGTCGCCTCTCAAGTCCCCGGCTGGCGCAACAACAAACGAGGAATTCTGAACATTGATTTGAATTTTGAATTGAAATGTCTTCGACTTGGACTTGGACTTGGTCTCCGTCTTGGTTTGTTTTTTATA